AGATTCAGACAAAACACATTTTTGTTTTGTTTTGTTTTTCTCAACACAAGGTTTAGGTGTACCAGCAGAACAAATAATAATTTTATTTTTTAGCTGTGGATGTTGTCCTGACTTTTATTTTGACAGGTGAACTTAACTTTGAACATTTACCCCAAAAAAGAAAAACTTTTTTCTCATTTAATTTTTATTTTAAAAAACAGCAACAAACCCCTTTGACCTTTAATGTGTTAATCAATTTTAACCTTTAAGGATTAGAGTAGGGATATATAACTCATGCCTGGATTTAATGCCACTCTATTTTTACTTGTATGCCAGCAAGGAAGAGAAAAAAACCCTCCAAGTCAAGAGTGAGGCAAGAATAGGCACGAACATTTAAATAATTCACACAGAACGCTGTTTTGGAAGATTCTGCTGTCAGCAGATTCATTTGTGTTACATGAAAGTGTCGGGATGGTTAAAAAAGCATCTTCTGATGATGTCTCAGTCCTTCCAAGCCAGAGCGCTCAAACTTTATGCCAGATTCTTTCAGAAATCATCAATGAGGTGAAATCTATTCCCTCAATATTAGATGCTGAAATCATTTACATATTTTGCTTTTTAACAGACAGTCCATCAAAGTTTGGAGCTGAATTTGCACAACTCCCATTCTTCAAGCAGATAAAATGTCATATTGGCTTTAGATTATCATTTAGCACAGAAATGTAGCAATTCAATTCAATTCAAATTCAAAAATACTTTATGAATCCCAGAGGGAAATTGATTGATGAAAGCATGATATGGCTTTACTTTAATAACTAAATGGTCAAGAAGGACAGAAAGATGTGTGATAGATTGTGGGTATTGTATGCGTGAGATGTGTTACGAGGTTGCCTCTGTGTCTATGAAATGTGTGATCTGTGTAAGTATGAAGCTATGAGGCAGAAACATGCTAGATTGGTAAAATGGAGAAACACATTCTACCATTAAAGATAAGTTTTTACCAGAAAGGTTTGTGTTTACTTCTGCAAACAAGTAATAGACCTCAAACTGAACACTGCGGGACTTTTTGCATCTGTTTTCAAATTGTTTTGTTTCACGTTTGACAAAATTTTATTGAAAACAAACAAGAATTCCTGTGTGGATCTAGCAAATATTTGTCTTGTTGCATGTTAAAAGATTTGTAATTTTTTTTTCTTATAACGAGAATTCCAATTATTTATGTAAGAATTAATATGTGTGACAAAAGAAACTTTTAATGACAAAAGCCTGTCAGCTTGTTTTGTTTCCACAAGACTCAAGGTCACTGTCTGATTACCTCTGCTGATTAATAGGGTTAGGGTTGGTAGTTGGTCCTTCTTATTTTAGTCTAAAGCCGGGCGGACACTGTGCGACTTTTTCACTCGTAGCACTCAGCTTCAGCTCAAACTGTACGACTTCCTCGCAGGGCAGATCTCACGAGCCATGTGCTCACACTGTACGACCCAGTTCTCGGATGCGACCTGACGGCTCACACTGTACGTCTGGTAGCAACACGTCGGACCTAAAAATATGCTAAAAATAGCAGTTTTTACACAACATGTCAGACTTTTTTGTGTTGTTTTGCCTGTTGTCCTTCGGGAGTGCTGCAGGAGGACACACAGGGATTTATGGGGGTTGGATGAGGAAAACGAAATAAAGAAAGTAAATCTGTGTTTTATGATCAGTTTAATTTGACATGAACACGACAAACACGCTTTCTTGACAATCTTTGTGAGTAAAAAAACGTGTAGAAATAAAAACGTACAATGTGTGTTATTAGGGAAATAGCGAGCGAGCGGCGTTGATGCAGGATTGAGCATGCGCCGTGAGCAGTTCTGGTACTTTTTGGGTTGCAGCTGCTCGCAGCGCCGCTTCAACAGTGCGATACCCTCACGAGGGACGAGCGAAATATTAAACACGCCAGAAGTCCGTGCGAGCTCACGACTGCTGATCGGTAGCTGGTCACTTGGTGTTAATCGCCTCTCGTAACCCTCTGTACACTACACGACGCTCAGCGCAAAACTCGCCCCGATATTGTGGATTCTCGCACGAGTGGAAAATCGGCTCAAACAAGTGAAAAAGTTGCACAGTGTACGCCCGACATTACTCTTCCACTCTTCCAGCTACATAAGACGTGGCATCTTCTTCTTCCTCCTTTGCTTAAAAGTGCTGCCATGTGGTATTTTTTGGAGCCAGAGTTTGCACAGTAGAAACAATGGGAAGCCAAATGTTAGGTCAAATTCATTAGAAAAATAAAATTAAACATGCAGCAAGGTAAGAATAATGGTGAGACTAATTTTGTATACACATGAATTGCATTACCAACAGGGCAGGCAAATAAAATGCTGCCTTGTGGGTCTTTACTGCCTCTATAAACACATCAAAAGTGAACCATATGCAGTGTCTTAGTGTTTGGTTATAGGAATGAATGCTAAAGCAAGCCATTTCAAAAAGTCCCTGTTTGTGACATCACAAACAGGGAAAGTAGATTTGAACCACCTCTCAACTGCAAGAGAGAGCTGCTGAATATCAGAGCGTCTTGGCAAATAGCAGCCTGAGTGAGGGACGGGTAGGTGTGGCCTGTTGTCTTAAAGTTACAGAGTCCTGAAACGACTCATCCTGGAAGGTACTTAAACTGTAAAGAATAGCATGGCTGAAAATAGCTTCATGTGAGAGGGATTTTGCTTGAGGAACTTCACCAACATATTTGGTACAGACCATAAAACTAATATAACTTAAGAAAAAAGTTGTACTCTCTCAAAACATGTATTTCTAAAGTTGTGTCTTCAGCAGGACATTTTCAGACTTTGGGTTTTGTAACTTTATAGATCTTTAGCATGCACAGAAGCACAAGAACTGCTGCAGAATGTGCTCAGTGGAGCTGCATCAGTAATACCTTCCTTATGTTTGTTGAAAACACTGATTTTTTCTTTATTCCCTCAGAGGACTTACATCACACGGGACATCGTGGCCACAGACGGAGGAAACCGCAGCACTTCTGTAGAGCTTGCCGTCACCATCACTAATGTGAAGAACCAGCCTCCTCAGTGGGAAAAAGACAGCTACAATGTCGTCATACCTGAGAACACTGCCAGAGACACACCATAGTGGTACGGTATCTTGTTTCTGCACTTATACATATATGTATATATATTTGTGCTGCTTGATTTAGTTGGTATTTAGGATTGCTGTTTTTAATCAAAGGGTGTGTGCTTACTGAAAAGTGCAGTGCACGGGTGTTATTTATACACAATGCCCTCTATGTGTTCACACCGTTCTTTGAACATTTGTTGGTACAAGGAGCAAAAAGTAAAACGTGTTTTAGTTTGATGCTGTAGCAGGAAGCTAACAGAATCTCATGTGCTAATCAAGTTTCACAACTCCAGGCAAATTCAGTTTATTAAAAATTGTCTTTGATGTAAAAAAATATAAAGCCATCAATCCAAAGAACGTAAAACCTTTTTTTCTTTAAACATCTTGAATAAAGGAGACACTTTGACTTATAAGGGCACTTGAGATAATTTATTTTATTTTATTCGTTCATCAGTCAGTAAAATAAATGGGTCAAGATTTTAAGACCAAAAAACACAATCTGACCCTGTTTCTAGCATGTTCCATGAGCAAAGAAAAACAAACAACTTTTTCATTTAGTTTTATTTTCTTACTTCCAGAGATTACAAATATTTTAAATGTGACTCTAAAATCTGCTGCTAGCTTTCTGAGCTCAAACAAAGCATTCAAAAACAGCTAAGCATGCTTTGTGTAAAGTTTAAAAAAGAAAAGGCCTAACAGCAGTCCCCAAGCTCACGAATTAACAAATTGTATCTCATTTGTTTTACCAGATTAACTCTGTTACCGGCTTTTATGCTAAGCTAAGCTAATCGCCTTGGAGCTCTCGCTCACACAGAGATGAGGGTGGTGTCATTTTACTGTCGGTAAGAAAAAGCACAAAAATGCAACATTATTCCTTTAAGCCTAGAATAATAATCATCCTTAGAAGCTCAGAGCAGTTGAGTGTGAAGCTAGAGCTAAGTAAAAACTAGCTCAGCTGGCATTTCACTAGAAGCAGGGGAGATCAGCCATTTGGGTCCTAAATTTAGGGCTCACCACTATTTTAACCCTGAGGTTTCTAATTTACATATTTATTTTGTTTCTTCATTGTGCAGAATTTCAAATGGCGCTCTTACGAATCCCTGTAACTCACATCCAATTTCAATCAATCAATCAATCAATCAATCAATACTTTATTAACCCAGAGGGAAATTAGAGTTTCAGTACACACAATTCAGAGATCAGACATACATGGGCAAGACACATAACAAGAATTGATGACTGGTCATTCGCAACCTGAGTCGCGCTACCTTAAGAGAGATAAGAGGGGTTTACATGAGGAATGGTTTAGGTGGAGGGAAAAAAAGCACTTCAGAGTAGGGCTGCAACAATGAATCGATTAATTCGATGAAAATCAATTACTAAAAGCGTTGGCAACGAATTGCGTCATCGATTCGTTGTGTTGCGCAACTCTTCCAAAAGCGAGAGCCGGCAGGTGTTCGGAAGTAAAAACTTTTAAAGTTTGGAAGCATTTTCAGTTAAATCAGGTGAAGACATTCATTACCTGCAACGTTGTAGGTCAGACTTAGCATGGCACGGGAGTACTACGGTGCAGCATCTTAAACGCAAGCATGATCATCAGCGAGGAGGGAGAGAGCTATATGTCCAGGTAAGTTAAAAACTTTTCAAAAGTGATTCACCCAAGCCCCGGATTATTACACAGGCTAGACATGCCCTAAGCTCGTAAAAAAAGTCTATAAAATCGTAAGCGCGACGCTATTAGATAAACGGGGGGGGGGGGGGGGGGGGGGGGGGGGGGGGGGGGGGGGGGGGGGGGGTGCTGCAAACCGGTTCCGCCGTCACATTCCCACAGAAACTGGTTGATCACACCGGGGCCATGTGGTTCTACAACCACAATGTCCTGGAAGCGAAAACGCTTTTAAAAGGGATGGAGAAGTACCAACTCTTGCTGCAGGCGTGTTGTGTGAGAGTGCAGTTATATACTGGTTAATATATTTTTGGGTTCAGTTGCTTTCATGTGGCCTAATGTGAGTCTATTTGGGATCATTGGAATGATCAGCAGCATTTCTTGATGTGACTTTATGGCAGTTGCCCAGGGCATCATCACAAGGAGGGCGGCATTCATTTACTTTTGTTTTATTTGGTATTTTTTCAGTCATTTTTGGAAGTAGTGATTAATTTTGATTAATTCACAGCCAATGTTTAATTACATTTTTTTGCTGATAAACTAAATGAGAGTCTAATCGTGCTGCAGACACGTGTCGTCAATAATTTGGCACTTCAGTGCATCTTAGTTAAAATTTAAATATTCTGCCTAAAACTGGCAGTGTTGTGCCGTTGTCAGGTAAAAAACTCTGCACTGTATTTAATTTAAATCTGCCACCGCTATTGGCTAAGAAGTATGCTATGATGTAAACTGGTACATTATGATGTCACAATGCTGTCGTGAGCCTGAGTGTGTGTGTATTTGTTAGCGGCTCCGCCCTCTCGGTCTGCCAGGCAACAGCATGTGTTGCATTTTTCAAACATGAAGTGGGAGTGGAGTTAGACTCTGGTAGGGGTTGACTTGCTCTTTAAGCTGTTTAACTTGGACCAAGCATTTTAGGTCACAGATAGGTGTAGCTTAGGGTCTCTGTCTATACACCTTATAAGACAATTTAGGTGATGGCATGTTGTTTTTCTGCTATTGAACTGTTTTCTAATAAGGTTGTGTTTAATAAAGTGAAGGAAGGAGAGAAATAACGTTTCCCTAGCAGTTTTTAAAAATGTCCCCATGTAATCCGATTAATCGATTAATCGTGTCGAGACCCCATCCGATTCATCGATTATCCAAATAATCGTTGTTGCAGCCCTACTTCAGAGTTACCCCTCCAAAAAATCAAAAGAGAGCCAAAGATATCTAGTGGCAGATACAGGTGAATGGTGAACGAGAGACAAATTAGTCCATGTTGCAAAGTCTCTGAAGTATAAAACACAATAGTAAATGCACTATCTTGGACCGGATACATGACAGGATACCCCAGAAAACTGATGTGCCCTTTGCTGTCCTGGCAAGGAATTACTTTGCAACACTCTCCAGGTGACGGAGAAGTCTGAAGGCAAAATGTTTGTCCGTGCGGGTGCGTCTCTCCCTTGTGGAGCTGGCTGAGATGCATACAATAGGGATAACGCTAGGGAAGTCCTGATACAACTTTTATCCCTTCTGTATGATACCGAAATCTCAGCCTTCTGTAATGACCGATACCAATATCAATCCAATCTGATATCAGCACAAATCATACATACATTTACCTGATTCATAGTGTGGAATGTATAAAAGATTTGATCAAGTGATTTTACTCAAACAAAAAACAAAGCCAGCAACATTAAGTAAAAGTAAAAAACTGGCCAATTTTTTAGTAACCTTTGGTTGCATAAAGGTGAACGGCTGAGGTTAGGGACACAAGGAAAAAAAACACAATATTGTTCTCTGACCAACCGCTACAAGTTCAGTTTCTAAAGTTTCAATTTCACACACTGCGAAAATCCTCATGCAATGTTTTGTGATCCTGCTTCAAATGCACGATGACGTTGGACGTATTCATTTTCCCCGGTTCTGTTCCACCACAGGAAACTTGTGCATGACAAGTGTTGCACTGAGCCAAACTGTCTTTTTTGGACTTTAACAAAAAATACAGCCCAAGGCCGGCATTGTTCCTTGCTACTTTGCTAGCACACATTGTTCTGATCACGTGGACTTTGCATGCTGGATCTGGGTGCGGCTGGATAGAATTTGTGTTAGAATGGATTTTGAAGCTGAACATACTGCTAATATTGGAAATTTTTGATGCAGTCCGACATAATACGATACAGTGTTTTGGGGCCGATATCAATATCGGAATGGGACGTCCCCAGATAACGCACAGCAAAGAGATAGATTCACTTCTGCTTTCACTAACTGAACACTAGAGGGTTCTAAAAGCAAGCCAAAACTGCAAAGCTTCCCTTTAAACATTTTCAAATTTAGACATTTAAAAAAAATCATATTTTTTTATATTATATTATAGAATAGAATAGAATAGAATAGAATAGAATTGTAATGTCATTGCACAGGGTACAATGAAATTGAGGGCTGCTCCCATCGAGTCATAAACACTTACCTTTTAATCCCAATAAATCTTTGCATAAAGTTCTCCATCCTTTTCAGGTTAGCACATGCAATAAGATATTGGGACTAAAACAGACTCTACTTGGCCTGTTGCTCAAATGGATAACATAAGTGTGTAATTAGTATAATGTTTCAAACAACAAAAGGAAAAGTCTTTTCATTTCCATTTTATTAATTTTTTCTCCTCAGTAATTGTTCCTCAAAGCAAAAAAGACCTTGAGCTGCATGACCAACATGTTATTCAAACCCACACAGTTTAGGTAAGAACAAATAATTACTGAGAAGTTTGAAAAAATATATAATTTTAGCGTTATAAAATGTTACAGTGATATTATTGTTGAATGTATGATATTGTAGCAGTCTGCGCCGTCCTCTAGCGGGGTGTGTGTGAAGCAGCAAAGAAGAGTCGACAGGTAGCAGACATAGAACACTTTTAATAGCCGGATGGCTCCCCTTTTCATCCCCCCACACATACATTTAACTCATGGTGCCAACAGGCAACAGATAAGAACAACACAGCGTGAACTCCAAACTGAAACAAACAACACTAACATAACCCCGAACAAAATAACCCTCAGAACCCCACAAACTGAATAAACAACCCCAATTTACCCTCCCCCCAGAGTGCAATGCGGCCATGCTGGCCTATCAGTGGCAGGGCAGACACAAAGCCCCCCCCCCCCCCCCCCCCCCCCCTTAAAAAAGGGTTAAGTGTCCCACAACCCTCAGTTTCCCATTTCAAAGTCCTGGAACCGGCCCGGCCGGTGCCGAGCGTGCACCGCCTCCCTGGTCTCACCGTTTCCCCCCAAGTCCATCCACAGCCCCATCAGCAGCCGGTTGCCCCTGGTCTGTGGCCGGTATGGCGCCAAACGGTCCTTGTGGAGGACCACCCGCCTACCTCGTCCAGGCAGGCGAACCCGGGAGACCACCGCAGAGATCTGGTCCAAAATTTCTGCGGGTCCTTGCCAGTGGCCCATCAGTTTGGGAGACAGGCCCTTCTTCCGAGTCGGTCAGTAGACCCAAACCTTGTCCCCAAAGCCAATGAGGGTCCATGAGCTCTGGAGTCGTACGCCCTCCTCTGGTGAGCTCCAGCCACTAGCAGGGTGGTCTGGGCCAGCTGGTGGACTTCTTCCATCCGCTCCTTTAGGCGTTGCACATAATCCAGTTCGGGCGCCCCCACAACCTCTGGTTCTGGAGCCAGCCCAAACACCAGGTCCACTGGTGTCCAGAGCTCCCTCCTGAACATCAGCGCCGCAGGAGTGCTCTGGCTGGACTCTTGCACCGCAGTGCAGTAAGCCCACAACACCATAGGCAAATGTAAATGCCAGTCTCTCTGGTGTTTGTTGGTGAGGATCGCCAGCTAAGTCGCCAGAGTGCAGTTAAACCGTTCCACCAGCCCGTCACTCTGGGGATGCAACAGAGTGGTTCTAGTCTTTGTCACCCCAACCGCCGGCATACCTCACCGAACAGCTGGATCTCAAAGTTTCTCCCCTGATCGCTGTGCAACTCCTCAGGTACTCCAAAACGAGAGAACATCTCGTCCACCAACCACTGAGCTGTAGATGCAGTGCTTTGATCCGGCATCACGTACGCTTCTGGCCACTTGGTGAAGTAGTCCATGGCTACCAGAATGTAGCGATTTCTAGCCTCTGTAGTGGGAAAAGGCCCGAGGATGTCCACCCCGACCCGTTCCATCTGTGCTCCAACCAGGTACTGTTGTAGCGGCCCCCGGGAGCGCTGAGTAGGCCCTTTTTGGCTGGTGCAGACGTCGCATTAGTAAACGTGGTGTTCCACGTCCTGACGGCAGCCCGGTCAGTAGAATCTCCGGCGGAGCTGTCGCACTGTTTTGCTGTTGCCAAAGTGTCCCGTCCCCACTGCCCCATGAACCCAGTAGAGGACTTTTGCTCAAAGGTTTCGTGGCACTAGCAGCTGCAAGCGGTCCATCCCTCCTCCTGGTGCCTGCCAGCACCGATACAGCACATCTCCATGCAGCTCCAAGCTGCCGAACTGTGAGTGCAGGTTCTTTTATTCAGCCCTAAGCGAGGATACGACGGGCCACTCTGGTCCCTGGGCGTCCTGAACCCAGGTCCTCACCTCCGCCAGAGTTCTTTTAGTTCTTCCATGGAGAACAACTCCCACTCTTGGTCCTCGGTAGCTTCCGCCGCTGCAGCCGACGGTTCCTGGTGCACGCTGCTGCTGGAAAAGGTTCTGGTTCACGCTCTTCCTGGCGGAGACAGTAATGACACTCAGTCACTGCACATGGGCGCCGGGACAGCGCATCAGCGTTAGCATGCTGGCGACCGGGGGGGTGCTGGATCTCAAAGTCATACTCCTGCAGAATCTCCAGCCACCTAGCTACCTGTCCCCCCAGCCGTTTAAAGTTCAGTAGCCAGGTGAGGCTAGCATGATCAGTCCGAAGCTTGAACGTGGTGCCCAGCAGGTATGGCCAGAAGTGTCTCACAGCCAAAACCACCGCTAGCAGCTCCTGCCTGGTGACGCAGTAGTTCCTCTCGCTCCGATTGAGACTGTGGCTGTAATAAGACACAACTCTTTCTCCATCTTCACCTGTTTGGGAGAGCACGGCTCCCACCCCCACGTTGCTAGCATCTGTATCCACAATAAACGGTTGGGCGTGGTCCGGATACGCCAGAACCGGCGCGTCAACCAACGCCGTCTGGAGCTGGTGGAAAGCTGCAGTGCACTCCTCACTCCATTTGAACCGCCTGCCCTTCTCGACTAACCGATGCAGGGGGCTAGCCACAGTAGCAAATCCTTTCACAAAGCGGCGGTAGTAGGAGGCCATACCCAGGAAGCTCCGCAGCTCCGAGACGCTTCTCGGCACAGGCCATTCCTTCACAGCAACAACCTTAGCAGGGTCTGTTGTTGCTCCTTGCTCGCTGACGACATGGCGGAGGAAATGGGTCTGGCGAGTGAGCAGCGTGCACTTAGCAGGATTTAATCGCGCCGCCCTCTAGCGGGGTGTGTGTGAAGCAGCAAAGAAGAGTCGACAGGTAGCAGACATAGAACACTTTTAATAGCCGGATGGCTCCCCTTTTCATCCCTCCACACATACATTTAACTCACGGTGCCAACAGGCACCGGATAAGAACAACACAGAGTGAACTCCAACCTGAAACAAACAACACTAACATAACCCCGAACAAAGTAACCCTCAGAACCCCACAAACTGAATAAGCAACCCCAATTTACCCTCCCCCAGAGTGCAATGCGGCCTTGCCAGCCTATCAGTGGCAGGGCTGCCACAATATCTTAGCATTTGCGGTTCAACATTTTTTCAGCTGGTAGAAACCATTTAACACTTCCACTGTATTTTTGGGTGACCCCACCAGGAAAGTTGACCATTAAGCACGATTGCTAGTTTATCTCTATTTATAGATTATAAATTGTAAGTTGCTTTGGATAAAAGCGTCTGCCAAATAAATAAAAATAAATAAATAATCTCTTGAGGGCCACATGGCAGGGGTGAGGTGGTGCTCACTCCTCACCCCTGCCACATGGACATCAAGGGATAAACCATCAAGCCTGCTCAATGGTCAACTTTTCTAGCGGGGTTCCCTGATAAGACAGTGGAGGAGTTAGTAATACCTCAGAGCTGTGTTTGACATTCGACCGTAAAAATCAGTAAAATTCTAATGAACTGGTCTAAAAAACTTCATAAATCTGTTAAACCTCTGAACTTTTAAGGCTTTAAAGAGGCTTATGGGTCATCTAGATCATTTCATGTTAAGAATTATGTTTTGATCCAGTCATTAAAACCTTGTTATGTGTGATCTGGTGCAGGATTGCAAAATCCTACAGGGTCAGTTATGAGACTCGACGCTGGATATCAGCTCAAAAACTGTAAAATTGGAATGTAACACATTTGTCTGCTTCTTAAATTTGAGTGACTGTAAAAGTTCATTGGTTGCAAATGCATGTTTAATTATAACTTTTTAGTATTTTTCATTCGTTCTGTTTGGTGGTTCATCAGAGGTTTTGCAAATGTGAACGACTGAGGCAAAGATCTTGTGTGATCTGTTAGCACTCAGACTGTGTGATGAGGAAGATGCTCAACTTCTAACCCCTCATGTAAGCTCTGAATTAGCAGTGATGGCTTTCTTGAGTCAGGTTGACTCCAAAAGTGAATCAGTTGTAGAAGTTCATCCGATGCTTGCTTGCTGAGGGTTTTATTGGGCTCCATCTGATGGTCGGCGTGACATTTTGATGACAACCCTGCATGTGTACGCACAAACAAACAGGAAACATCATTACGCCCTGCCTTTTGGTGGCACTTGTCATAAACAGCATTTGTATTGTAATGTGTGCATGTTCACCAAAGTAAAAGCCTTTTAAATGAAACTATACTCCATATGTACCACTTCAGGTTAACTCTCTTTTTCTTATGAATGCTGCATGTTGGCTAGTTGGATGGTGATGTCATTGGTGGACAGAAATACTAAACTGATGCTGACAGATGTGATTCAATTACTTATAATCAGCCTTTAAGTGAGTACAGAAGCCGCGGGTCCCAAAAGACCTGCGTTTTAATGTTCAGCATCTCAGAGGTGGAAATAACAACGCAGTTGTAGTGAAATCCCTCGGTTTTGTATTTTATCACAGCTGGACGAAAAAGTACTTACCGCCACCAGGTGCCTGAGACAGTGCTAATGATTAGCTGGGAGGTAATGTGGCTTCTTTGCTGAGTGGAGTTTGTCGCATGTCATCAGCACTTCGAATGTAGGTGTTAGTTGTTATTAGCTGGCGTGCAATATCGTTGGCAGAAGGTACTCTGGTGAAATTAATGGATTCAAAGACTGTAGAATGTTTTTGCATGGTGCACGGCAAACAGCACTGCGGCCAGTGTCAGCTGACATGGATTGCACATCATGAATCTAATGATCCAATCCATAGTGCTAATGGGTTTCCATCGGGTTCCAGCTAATGACTTTACTTCTGTTGGAGAGATATTGTGTTCCCAGTCTTACTTTGGAAACACTTCTGTTTATTTATTTCTTTCTTTATTTTTTACCTGCCTGGGAACAGTTGTGTTAAAGCTAATCAACTCCATCCCCAATCACACTGCCAGGTTCACCACTGTGTGTGTTTGTTGGCAGTTTTGATTGGCGGTTTTGTATTTTCTGTTTTATACTCTGCTCTCTTAAAATGAGGTTGGATGCTTTCTTAAAGTTCTATAAGTGTAGAAGTTTCAACCACAGCAGCTGCGAAACCACAGCGACCGCTGGGGTATTAATGGACAGGTGTAAGATTGCTATTGATTTTTCCCGCAAGCAAGAAAATAAGCATAGTTTCCAAACAAATTCCCGAAATCAAGAACATGATATGGAATCATACTGATTGAGACAGTCTGCGAAAACAGACTCGTAACTAATTTTTTACCTGTCCCAATTCCTGTTTGTTGTTATTTTCTAATTATGACAAAGAGGCTTTTATCCAAATCTTTGCTTCCCAGACAATCAAGGCAACCTCTCAGCTGGGTGACCCAAGAGTGACCTACAACCTCGAAGACGGAATGGTTCCTGAAACCAACATGCCAGTTCGTTTCTACCTCTCCCCTAACCGTGAGGATGGCTCGGCGTCCATCCTGGTGTCAGAGCCGCTGGACTACGAGACCACCCCTTTTTTCTCTCTCCAGGTCCGGGCGCAGAACGTGGCTGCAGTGCCTCTCGCTGCTTTCACAAGAGTTTATGTTAATATTACAGGTATACTCTGTAATTCTTTGTTTATGGATGTGATAAACATCATTGTTCAATTAGAAGATACTAATTTATTGAACTCTACAGTGATTAAATGTCATTAATATGTATTTTCTAAAGTTTAGACAACAAACAGTTCTATTTCTTTGCGTTGGATCTTGAGCTCTGAAGTGTCTGTTTTGACCAACACATCACTCCTCCTGAAAGCATCACTTGTTAAACTAATTATCTTTTTGCTGCTGTTTGTAAATGTAAAATTCATGTATGTGGAGAACCTTTGGGCTCATGTTTTTTTTTTGTGAGAACATTAAAATTTGCTGCCACAGTGGCACACACTCAGGATGCTAAATTATGTTAAGGCGAGTTTGGAAGCAATGTTATTTTTGCAACTGAACTTCTCTCATTTTCTTAGATGTCAACGACAACGTGCCGTTTTTCACGTCCTCTATCTACGAGGCCTCGGTAACAGAAGGGGCTCAGATGGGGACTTCGGTCCTCCAGGTGTCTGCCCACGACAAAGACCTGGGACTTAATGGCGAGGTTTGTGTTGATCTGTTTTTGTTCATGTTGCAGAAGGAGAAAAAAAAGGAAAATAATGAGGTTTTTACAGAAATCTCTTGAACTAAATCCCCATTGTGCTGTTGCTGTGCTAAACCATGCATGTCACCCCAGAAGGAGCATTATGTAACATCACATCCCAATCCCTCCAGTGTGGGAGTTTTCGCTCCGCTGTTGTCAAAGAAATGTCGAGGTGATGCTTTCAGCTGCTGTTATCAACGGTCTCTATGATTGTGTCAGTATTGGTGGAATGGAATGTATTGATTTAGTTTTGCAAAGAAGCAGAATCACCAACTTTTTGACTACAAGTTTTATTTTATTTTATTTTATTTTATTTCTGGTGTCTCTGCAGCTTGTAGCTTCATTTTCATATTACGTGTGCTCCACAGATCACTTATTCGCTACTGAGTGACAGCAGCGGCGACCACAATTTCTTTCGTATTGACCCGGAAGCTGGGATCATCTACACAGAGGCGGTGTTTGACAGGGAGGCCCGGAGCTCCTATTTGCTGGAAGTTCAGTCGGAGGACGGCAAAGAATCAGCACGGCCTGGAAAAAACAAGCAGCCCAACACAGGTTTGGATTACACATCTTTAAATGATGCATGTTATAAATATATATGTCAGGTTTGATTCATCGACATATACATATATGGACAATGGGTTTCCATAGGCTCCAATAACACGTTTTTGAGGGGAAAAGGGAGGTGGCCACCACCGCCATTTTGACCGTGTCACAGGTTCCGTCAAGCCCAGACGATTCCACAAAAGGGAAGAGAGGTGGAGCTGAGGGTGGGGCTGTAAGGCTGGGATCAACTGACGACACCCGGTCGAACTAGCTACAAGCTAACCTGAAGCTAACCCAAAGCTAATGCGGAGGTGGGAGCTAAGCTAACGGAGGTAGCAACCTAGCTACAACCGGAGTTAACTGTGCACAACACCAGAGCTTCTGAGTCAGAGATACGCTGGGCTGACCGCTGGGTAGAACCGGGTGGAACACAGAGGTCTCCGAGACCTCCACAAGCCGGCAGCCGCACAGCAGACAAGCGCCGCTACGATCTGAGATGCGCAGAGCTGCCGCTGGGGAGAACCGGGTGGAAAGGTTTTCATCCCAGAGCTCCACAAGCCGGCAGCCCGTGCAGCAGACAGAAGCCGCGATCAGACAGAGATGTGCCGAGCTGCGGGGAGGGGGGAACTGGGTGGAAAACATCGGTCTCCCGAGAGCTCCACAAGCTGTTAGTCGGAACCCAGCTCCACCAACATGTTATTTCAACCCATTTTCTAAAGTGCAGCATTATGTTAAATGCACTGGGTTTTACCCTATTAGATTTAAATTTCATGGTTAAACAGTACATGTTAAAATCTAAGCTCAGCTCGGCAGTGACCTAAAATACATAAATATAATTTTACTTACCAAAAAAAATGAAGTGGAGACTCCTTGGACGCTCTATTAGTGCAATTAATGCCACAGCAAGTCGTTTTGTCCAACAATTGCACAAAAAATATCCAAAAAAGAACACACAAACGCTACAACTAATGGTCTAAGTTGAGAGACTGAAAATGACCGAACAGTTTTCAGGCGAGGCCGAGGCTCAGACTGAGGCCTTTCCCCGGAGCTAGCTCTGCAATCACGTGGGTCTGATGCTCATTAATTATACAGAATTTTAGGCTTTTAACACACTTACACAGAAGAGTGAGAAAAAATTCACCCCCCTCAGAGTTGTCATGAGTGTAAACTAGATCATTTAAACCAAAGACATGTTTTGGTACCAGGCTGTAAACATGTTTATTTCTGCTGTGAAATTGGTATTTTTAACATGGGAGTCAATGAAGATTTGCTCGCTTCTGACACCAGCCCCTAGTGGATGAGGGTGGAACTGCAATTTATTTCACTTCCGCATTGACCTCAATTTCTGTCCCGCATTGTGGGGGCTTGGTTTGATTTCAGAATGAACTGAGGTAGATCTGGGAGTTTGTGTTGTGTTGGTGAGCCAAGCCCTAATCCCAACCTGGAAATACAGTGGTGTGAAAAACTATTTGCCCCCTTCCTGATTTCTTATTCTTTTGCATGTTTGTCACACAAAATGTTTCTGATCATCAAACACATTTAACCATTAGTCAAAGATAACACAAGTAAACACAAAATACAGTTTTGAAATGATGGTTTTTATTATTTTAGGAGAGAATATATCCAAACCTACATTGCCCTGTGTGAAAAGAAACATTTTGTGTGACAAACATGCAAAAGAATAAGAAATCAGGAAGGGGGCAGATAGTTTTTCACACCACTGTAAGATAGCTGGGAGCTGCTGACACACAGTTAATCTATAAACACCGGTACGTTTCTCGAAGGGAAACGAGAACAAACAGGCGTCAAAAGAAGAGTAAATAGCTGACTTACCGGTCGAATGAGTGACGGCTTGATGAGCGATGACGCTCTGAATTTGCGGCATGGGTTAGATGAATCGATAACGGAGTATCAAGGGGATGAGTAGGGTTACGTGGCATGCTGAGGCTGATGGGAGTTTATGCTCCTGTCTGACAACATGTTATATGCTGTATTTTATTTCCAATTAACTTTGAATTGCAAAGGCTTAGATGTAGATTTAATTTTCTTTCTTCTCTTTTGTTTTATTATTATTATTATCATTTTTTGCAATAGTATAAGTGAGTGATGCTAACCCTTATTTGGTGTTATGGTGCCACCCCACAGGGGTGCTTTGGAACATGAGAGGTCACATGACCCTGGATGCTTTTTACAGGTGCCACCGGGCATTGACATAATAGATTTTTGGACCACGCTCTCCTTTCCTGAAACAGAATACCAACGCTGGCTCCCCTTGACTGAACAAACACATTCAGCTGAAAGATTTTAACCAAAGCTCTGCTGTCTTTAAGAAATGTGCCCCTTCTTAAAATAAGATCACCAAAACGTATCTTTGAACGCATATGCAGAAAGAAGTAAGCCATGTTGTAGTAGTTTTACTCGACTTTAGTATTTTTTTAAAGCTTTGTCTGGAGTTTTTAATGGGTGCGGGTATGTGCTTGAATGTTTCCGATTTGCATAAAGCTTGAAAATGTTAAGCAGATAATTTGACATCTCATTGCTTGAAGCTCAGTGCTGCACCACCAGAGTTCATTGCATGCCTTTTTAAAAAGTCAAACCATTTGTCAGACCCAGTCACCTCTCTCAGAAGTGTTGGGCATTTCATTTACAACCTACTAGCCCATGCATTCACCCCAGACAAACAACATTAAAGCTAAGCAATGAGGAAATAATTTTAAATGGGGTGGGTGGAATGTAAATAGTGTGGATACCACTAGAAATAACTTCAACATATTGTTGTGTATTTATAAATAATACATAGCCAGCTAGATGAATACATGGAAACTATGAAGGGTGATGCCTCTGTGACCTGCCTTTTAAACAGATTGCATTGGTTTACATTCACACCTTGGAGTTGACTTTGAAAAAGGGATTTCAAATTCGATTTATTCCACTGCCATGACCAGGCAGCCTTGCACGTGAAACCAGCTTGCAGATGTATTGGCATTTTTGTTGCTGTTGCCATTGACAGCCCCTTTTTGAACCAGTATATTTTCACTGTTCAATATTTTACCTGTACCGCCCATGTCTGTTTACAACGTTCTGTATATGACATTTTGGCAGTCGAAAAATCCCTGTCTGTGTCTGGCATGATGTAATGTGACATTTGTATTCAGAAGTGGGTCTTTTGCCTGTATTTGCGAAGCTGGTATTAGGTGCAGCAGGTGATGTTTTGGAGCGGCAAAGCCTCCTCTCCAGGGTTGCCAGGGCTGCTTAGCATTTACAATGAGTCTTAGCTGTGTCTAATGTCGTCCACATCCAGAAGGGGCTCATCTGCACTGCAAACATTGCCTATCTCTCTGTCACCCTTGGGATACAACAAAAGGAGGAGAGAAATGAAAAAAGAAGAAAAAAAGAAACGCACCAGCCAAGGAAATAAAGCCACATTCCACCGTCATCCTTTACTGCAGCAGCTCCAAATTAACATGTCACCAATGTATTCTCAGAGCAGATAATTTACTCTTTCTAACTAAAGAAATAAAGGTTGTAATGAAAAGGACCAAGATAAGACACAAACATTTGTCATCTTATGAATATTTAACCATCCCTTCAGAGTTTCTGTATCTCTCCGCTGCAAAAGCAGGTGGCTGAGGGAGTTTATTTAACTCAGATATTGTTATTGTAATGTCACCAGTAATAAAACATTATCCGAAAACGTATTGCATTATAGTTTTATTATTAAGGTGGATCACGTTGAATTGCATTTTTTGGTTTTAAAGTGAAATGGTTAATTGTGAAATTAAATAAAAGAAGGAATAACTCACACAGGGTGCTAGCTGGCTGGGATGCCAGTATGTTAGTGTGCCTCTTCTTTTAATCTTTTTTTCACTCTGTCATTCCTGCAGACACAGCATATGTGAGGGTTTTCATCAGCGATGTCAATGACAACAAGCCTGTCTTTGCTCAGCGGCTGTATGAAGTTTGTGTCGACGAGAACGCAGACGTGGGCCTGGCCATTGTCACCGTTAGCGCTAACGATGGGGATGAAGGTAAGCTTGATGAAGCAACGGACTGGTGAGCTTCCCAGATTTTACTGATGCCATTCCCTAGAACTAAATGTCATCGAAGCTAACGAAACCAACGTGAAACTCTCTAAAGGTTTACAGACACTTGTATAATTTTTTATATTTACCAGCACAGGTTTTTCTTTTCTCCATTGGAATAACAGATTTGTTTTGGCAGCATACCAGTCAGTTTCCTGTTTGAACTGCGTGCCAAATAGGAAGCTTTTTGTTTTTGCAGGATGGTCTTCGTTTGTGGCAGTCTGCATAAAGTCACCCTGGAGCTAGACTTTTCCAATCTGGCCCGTGCTTTGCAGTAAAACATCCTACTAAAATCAAGCGCTGTACTAGATTTAGTAGTCAGTTAAGTGCTTGGTAATGCACTGCAGCACATATGTTCTAAAAAGAGTGACATGCTCCCGCACAGTAGGTGGGTGGGATTAAAGCAATAAAGCAGTTGCTCATCCTCCAGACTGCAGCCTAAGATCCGTTTATCGGGAATATTTAGGGCCGTTAATCAAGCGTTTATGGCGAGCGGGGGTGCAGCTTAGGCCGGGCTACATCACTAATGATAAATAGCTGTGGAGCAAAACCAACCCCCAACATCAGAGTTACAATACTATTTGCACTAACGCCAAAAAAAAAAAAGCTGCGTCCAATCTGTCTTATTTAAGAGCTCCACCCAAGTCTGACTGATGTAAACATGCACGAGCCCCGCGGGAGGCAGGGAGCACTTTTTCAATGAGGCTGTGCTAATAGTGCAGATTAATGTATTAACGTGGGATTGTCTCTACTTTAACCCTACATGAAGATTGAAAGCAAAAACTATATGTTCTACAGGATAATCTCATCTATTCCAGTGTTATAACATTAGATCGGATGGTCTCCACAGAGACAAAGTAGATCAGTTCCAATATTGACTTCTTTTTTACACCCCCAACCAACCTCACCCGAGCCTCACGGTAATTCCCTAAAGGGCACTATCCGACTGCATTATGCTACCTTTTACTCATTACTTTTTCAGCACCCTTTTTTTAATTAGTATCTGATTAAAGCTGAGGAGACAGAGTACAAAGTTTCCATTTAATGAAGTAATCACAACAAGAAAGGGTTACATGAACATCTACTAATCCTCGAGTCTTGGAGGAAATGAGGTGTTATACCCTGATGGTTGGACCCCTCTGCAGCAGTGCAAAGAAAACAAAAATAAAACAATGATTTAAGCATGCATGGTTCAAACCATTGAAAGTAAAAGCAGCAGCTTGCAGTACAATGTGAACACTTTCCACCACTTTGCATTTTGTAATTATTTTCCATATAGGTGCCAATGCAAAGCTGCGCTACCAGATAACGTCTGGTAACAAAGGTGGTGCTTTTGACATTGAGCCAGAAGTTGGGACAATTTTCATTGCACAGTCACTGGACTATGAGCAGCAAAAGAGGTACAAGCTACTGGTTCTAGCTTCAGACGGCAAGTGGGAGGACTATGCTGCTGTTGTGGTCACGGTGGTTAATAAGAACGACGAGGCACCGCTGTTTTCCATGAATGAGTACTATGGATCAGTCACGGAGGAACTTGATGGATCGCCTGTGTTTGTGTTACAGGTGAGTGGCTCACAGGCTTCCTGCATAAAGCTTTGCAACTGTGTACTCTTTAGTAATTACAGTAATCTATATATTTGCAATTATCGTCCCTTTTTATAATGAGCACCCTTCCAAACTTTGCTCTCGGTGTAGGTTTATGTGGCAGCTGAGTAATTATTGCAATTCCTTATCCTGGCATGTCATTTCAGTTTATCTACTGTTGGTGTTTTACCATAGCTTGGCAAGTTATTTAATTCCCTTTAAGTTAGAGAGGCAGCGAGGATGAATGTTGTGTGTGGAGACATTCTGCAGTAGAACTGTCACATCCACTCAGACCAGATGTAAGAGACATGCCTGATCACAGCTCATTGCTTTAATTAAGCAGGTCAGAAAAAGTGAAAAAAAAAACTTAAATGGGCTGTCTAAAAAAAAAAACAGTCCAAAGCAAAGACGAGTGGACGATGGCTGAAAGGAGATAAGAGCAGCCCCTAATTTGCGGTTGACTGAGTAAAAGAATATCCATTTTCTTAGAAACTTGTCTTTATCTCTGCAGGTGACAGCCACCGACCCGGACAAAGATGCGGACCAGGGTGCCATCCGTTACTCCATTCATGGCCAAGGAGCAGAGTCACATTTTATGATCAACGACATCACAGGGGAGATGTATGCTCAGCGCACCATGGACCGGGAAGACCGAGCCGTGTGGCGCTTTGTTGTCATGGCAACGGACGAAGAAGGCGAAGGACTTACTGGCTTTACGGATGTTATTATCAACGTGTGGGACATCAATGACAACGCCCCAACCTTCTTGTGTGCACCTGATAATTGCCACAGTAACGTGGTGGAGAATTCTCCTCCGGGAACAATTGTTGTGGAAATGACAGCGGTTGATCTGGACGACGCAGCCGTGGGTCAAAACGCCATCCTCACATACCGGATTACAGAGAATGCACATAATTCTAACAACGAGGAACTTTTCGCTATCGATTCCAGTACTGGCACTGTGTCTGTGGCAGCGGAGGGTCTGGACCGGGAGTTTGCTGATAGCCACCATGTGGTAGTAGAAGCCAGAGATGGCGGAGGCATGATGGGGACAGCCACTGTCACCATTATGGTATCGGACATCAACGACCATGAGCCAAAGTTTAGAGAGGACTGGTGTGGTGCCCGTGTACCTGAGAGCACCCGTGAGGACGCTTCACTGCTGGAGCTTTATGCCGTGGACCCTGATGACGACGTGTACGGGCAGCTGACGTTCAGTGTGGTGGCAGGAGATCCAGAGCAACGGTTCTACATGGTCAGCAACAGACTGGAGCAAAAAGGCACCCTGAGACTGAAGACAAAGCTGGATTTTGAGCAGCCGGGGGAGCAGAGGTTTAACATCACTATCAAAGTGGAGGACTCCGACTTTTCCAGCACTATCCACTGTGTGATTCTCGTAGAGGACGACAATGATAATGCCCCTGTGTTTGGTCCAGTCTCTCATTTGCTCTCCCCTTTGCCTGAGGACGTCGCTGTTGGAGCCAGCATATTTCAGGTCACAGCCACCGACCCTGACTCAGGTCTGAATGGGGATGTTTTCTACAGTGTCCTGCCCAACTCAGACCCCTATGAACATTTCACAATCAATCGTGCAGGTGTAGTCACTGTCACCAAGCCACTGGATAGGGAGACTGTGGCAAGTTATGAGCTGGTTGTCATAGCAACAGACCGTGGTAAACCAGCGCTGACTGGCAGTGTTACGGTCAGCTTGCCCCTGCTTGATGTGAACGATAACGGGCCTGAGCTGGATGCACACTACACGCCTGTGCTGTGGGAGAACAGTCCAGCACCTCAGGTAGTCTGGCTCAACAGAAGCTCAACTCTCCTGCATGTCGTGGACAGAGACTCCCCAGAGCATGGGCCGCCTATTTTCCTCTCCCTACCCTCTGTGTATTCCACCGACTTCCACCTTCAGGACCACGGGAACTGCTCTGCCACTCTCACCACGCTACGCAGGTTCGACAGGGAAAGGCAGAGCGTGTTCCGCCTGCCGGTGATCATGATTGACAGCGGCGACCCGCCGATAACAGCCACAAACACGCTCACCATCACTATTGGTGATCATAACGATAACGCCCATCAGGCAGGAGAGAAAGATATCTACGTGCATAGCCGCAAGGGTGAGTTGCTTCCTTATCCGCAGTTCATTCCCTGGTTCTTGTTTTTGTTACGGAGCGTTGCACTGCAGGCAGAGCTTGGCTGAAGAAGGGGTGGGGTAGGGGGGTGGGTGGGGAAGAGCTGAGGCTACAGATTGAAGGGGAAAGTTCACACTGCTGAACCTCCTCAGTGTCATCTGGAATCCATAATCGCTCTGACTTTTATACTGTTTTTTGTTACGATAATGATGCAGAATTTCTTCTCGAGCCTTGAGCAGATTCCAACCCCCAAGCCTGAAGCTCAAAGGAACGTCACTTTATTGTAGGATCATCATTCCTATTTTGTCTGTTTGTGTTTTCCCCCTCCAGGTAGGTTGATTAGGTATGTTGGCTTGTTAGTGTTTTGATTCCACACAAAGCAACATAGCACTTTTGGTAATTGTTGGAAGTGGGGATGCCGTGACTCATCCGAGCTGCCATTGTTTACCCAGCTGCAGTACTCTGGCTCTGCAGGTCGATAATAACATAATCCATAGTGAGATAGCCTTGCTTCCTTAAACCCCGCGCTCTCTGAAGTGGAGCACAGAGAGTCTTTTCATTCCAGCAGTGGGACTCCACAGTTATGAGCATAATAAGTAGAACAGAACACAAGAATGCAAGATAAGGAGAAGAGAGGGACGGAAAGATAAGCGTTGGCATCAGCAGATTCTGTCCAGACTGAATCGATGTGTGTGTCGGTATGTGTGTGTGTGTGTGTGTGTGTGTGTTTACCTTGAACAGGAAGGATGGGATATGCAGCTCTAGGAAAGGTATATGCCCCAGATCCCGACGACTGGGACAGCAAGACCTACAGTCTGGAGACAAGTGCAGCCAAGTAAGAGCTCTTCACTAAATGCGCCAAAATGGTTTTCTCTTTTTATTGTGCTGATCTCTGTATGTGTAGCAAATGTATGCATGCCAAAGACTGACCAGAAATGTTAAATGAACAAATTAAAGGGCTTGTGAAATCAGCCGTGTGCTTGCATTCTCCAGTAAAGCTTCTCTGAATGACATCATTTCATTTTAAGCAAGCCAACCTGGTATTTCTCACAATCGTAAGTGCAACTTCCTGGTCTCTAATACAGCCCACATCTCCATTAAGGTTTTAATCGTTGTCATCTTCGGTGATTGTTATTCTGGAAACGACAATCACATTCAATCAAACTAAGAAATCTTGATCAGCCTGCATCACGTTCCCAAGATAAAGCCGCCTATACAACCACATTCCGAGTCCATCAGGGACCTTGTGCCGCTGTTCAGTATTCCCCCTTTTAAGATCAGATTAGAAATACCAATTGCATATTTGTTTTATTCACACAGCAAATTCTGACAGTTGCTATGACAACTATCAAGTCGTTTTAGAAGCTTTTTGAGTCAAATACTTCAGCTATTTTTTACTTCGTGGACCTTTTTATGTCGTTTTGCACAGATTGTGAATTGAGTGTTTGTTGGAGGAAAACCAGGTATCATTGTTCACTTTTCTATTTGTGTTTCTGCCAATAAGCTCAGAAACAACTACACAAAACAAAACACTTATCCTTTGTTTTTGTTCTCTGTCATCTTACGCTGAAGTATTACTCTTCTACTCGCCTCTGTTTCTCTCAGATACTTCAGTCTGAATCAGAGCTCAGGAGTGCTGACTTTCCGACAGAACACTCCAGCAGGCAGCTACTGGTTGAGAGTAGGTGTGTCTGATGGGGTGTGGCCGGATGTGATCTCAGGAGTCAGGGTTCACATCAGGGAGCTGGAAGAAAAGGCCTTCCTGTCGTCCGCCTCGCTGCGTTTGACAGGTAACGGCTGCAGGAACACGGCGCACCTCACCGCATAAATTAGATTTTACTTTTGGATAAATTAGTGTTGATAGCTCAACAAGTAGATGGAAGATGCACTTGTTCTGCTACTGCATGACCCCAGATGTACAAGTCTGGGAAAATAGTGAATACAAAAGGCTTGTGTCTTTCCCAGTCTCAGTCACCATCCAGGAAAAAAATAAAAAGCAACACAAAGCCAGCTCTTTGTTGACTCTGGTAAATTCTGTTTTGACACTGATTTTGGAAATGACAGCATCTTTCACAGGCATGAATAAATTGGTACTTTTCATTTACTGATTATCAAGTTGTCAATCCAGTTAACACCTAAATAACAGGCTGTCGAGCCATTTTTCTCATACGTGCATTGTTTAACATTTCTAACCATTTACAGTGTTTGTTCAGAACCGTCTTGTTTTCTATTCTTCTCTTCTTCATTCCTCCACACCCTTGGGGTTTCTGGTTGCGTATTCATTTTTCTGACAGTCTCTAAGATCAAATCGGAGTTATAAAGGTCAATTTGGAAGTGTCAGGTAAAGTCCTTGACATTTAAAAAGCCATTCGGTGAACGAAGTCAAAGGCTGTTATGGATGCCTCTGACTCCAACTTGTTATCAAATTTCAGGGATTAAAGATGACTGCTTGCATTTTCCAGATATTCCTGGGAGGTTCCACCCCCAAATGTGATGGATTTTTGCTGTTGTTAAATTATTTTGCAAGAGACAGTTTGTCAAGAATCTAACTTAATGCCAGCAAGGAAACTAGTGATTTTACTGGGCTGCATCAAGACTCCTTCACCTCATGGATAGCTCAGGGATGAAACGGATCAATACAGGGAGATGTTAGGCTACCTCTTGTGCTAATGGAATCAGGAACTTCATAGACTTTGATCAACTCTGTAGTTGTCATTGACGAGTCGGTAGTTCTTATGTCATGAGCCTCCACTTTCTTTGTCTCCCGAAAGGCATTACAGCGAGAGAGTTTATCGACTCCAACGTCGAGGGGAAGAGTCGGCTGCAGGCGTTCTGGGACTTCCTGTCTGAAACCCTGTCCGTCAGACCAGGAAGCATCAACGTTTTCAGCGTAGCAGACAGAGAGGAGAAAACAGTAGACATCTATTTCCATGTCTTGACTGATAATGGCTACTTGCGGCCAGAAAAGCTGCACAGTGTTCTCGCGGCACATAAAAGGAAGGTATGTATACCATCCTGTCAGACCGATAGAGATCTGTGTTCATAAATCACGTGATAAACCTGGGAGCTTGAGGAAAAGAGATAACGGGGCTCTTTATCTGGCCTTTTATTCTCACACCAAATTTCTGTCAGGTTACCGCCTGACCCTGTCATGTCTATTTGTCTCCCATTCACTTGTTGTCAGTTCCTTTCCTCCATCTGTAACTCGCTTTCTTTTTTCCACGCTTTCAATCCAAATCAATGTGATTATCTTGCCACTTTAACAATTACGCTGACGCTGTTTCTTCTTCTGTTGCATTTCGTGTAAAGGTATTTTGTTCTTCTGAAAGCAGTATGTCATTGTCTTGTACATGGCACAAAACTGCACATATTAATTCCTGTTTTTTTAAACAGAAATTATTGTAATTTCCTCTTTCTTTTCGGACTCTGCAGCTGCAGTCACTCCTGCGAGCGAACGTGAGCCAGGTGCAGGTAGACGAGTGTGTGCGTGCTGACTGCAAGACATCCGGAGGCTGCTACACACAGTTAAGCATCAGCGACTCACCCAGCTTGATAGACTCTGGTGCTCTATCCCTGGTCTCGGCGAAAGTGACATCCGCGGCTGTGTGTGGCTGTGCCGCCAGAGAAATGGCCCACCAATCCTGCTCCTCTTATCCCAGCGACCCCTGCCTTAATGGTGGGACATGCATCGACACACAGAACGGATACAGGTGAGATGCATGTGGCTCTTGCCCTGTAAACTATGTCCCTATCAAAATAAAATGAAGATGCGTGAGTTAATTTTCAGAATTGGAAGTTGAAAATTAAAAATACATTTCCTACACGCTTGAATCCATTTGTCGTGAGGTCTGTCGGTGTGGTATGTGAGCTGTTATTTATAAAATGCATTAGCTGGTAGGGCTGCTAGACTATAGGGAAATACATGGTAATCATGTTTATTTTGGTTAGTATTGAAATCATGATTCTTTACTATTTTTATTCATTAAGCTAATAAAACACATTGCATTTTATTTCCCATCTTTAGCTGAAAACACACCTTGAACACCACAGCAGAATTCCAAAACAGGGACATTGAGACTCTCCGATGAACAGGGGCGTGTCCAGGGAGTGGCCCGGGGTGGCACATGCCACCCTTGGAATCTGATTGGCCACCCCAGTTGCCATCACACTAATTTACCTTCAAATAGGCTTTTCATTGTCCACAAAAGTCTTGGGGGTAAAACAAAACAAAAAAAGCATAACCATTGGTGCCACCCAAGTTGTGCCTCACCTGGGCCACCCCAGTTTAAAAGATCTGGACACGCCACTGCCGATGAAACACACAGAAAAAATCCCTCTGCAGTGTGCACTGAACTAGATTGTATATTATGGTCTGTGTTCAATTGACCAAGGTTTCTCATCTTTTGACAATAGTGATTCAATAAACTCAGGATTATAAACTTTCCTCACCACTAGATTTGTCTTTAAAATCGTTTTCATAGCGGTTCTGTAAAGCCCAGAAGATCACTCCATTGCTTGCCTTACCTCCTCTTGGTTGCTCATCTCCCTACCCGTGTTGCATTTGCTAACCATCTCACTTGATTTCCATAAAAAAAATACAAATAATCAAGCTTCTTGATCAGTGGCTCGTTCTTCTGCTCCTTGGTTCTTAGATCATATTATCACCACACTGTTGTTATTTTGTTTCCAACCCTGTTGCTGTTCTGCTCTCACCTCATACCAGATCATTGCATTAGAATCTAATTAGACTTCTATAGCTAATTGATTTAATGTAGACTAGAATCTAAATAGACTCTATAAAAACTCCTTCTTTCCTGTCCAAAATTAGACGTTAGTTTAAATGTGCTGAAATCGACGGAAACTTAATATTCTAGATGATCAGTCAGCAAACCACAAAAAATAAAATGAAATAAACGTTAACAGACAGCAGCTATAAAAGCCAGAACAAGCTGCTACAACATGGCTCAAGTAAAAATGTGTTTCATGAGTGTTTACCCTTGAAAATATAATCATGGGAGAAAATATGACTGGACCACAAAACCAGTTGGGGTCAAAATTGGAAAAAACATGGATGTGAAACAAATGTCATCTTTACAAAAACACCTTCCCAAGATGCACATGAATGTAGCCTTCAGCATGATTAGAAGTGCCTCGTAGGGAAGTCTTGAGAAAATAGAAGCAAGCTTGCAAAGCAGGCGCGATATTTGTGATGGTTTCTTTCTGCAGACTGTTTTGTGATCTTTGGAATCAACATTTAGACTGAAATATAGATGATGTTGATTGTGCTGGTTGATTATTTTTAGTCAAGATTTTAGTCTATAGTACAGAATATTCACCTTAAGCAATTATTAAAAGTCTGAAGTCATTTTACTGGTCGTCATTTTCATTTTTTTAGCTCTCTCCATGCAGTTTATTTCATGCACACACTAATGCCCAGATTAAATAAATATAGGGCAAACGGATTATTTAAATCTACTTCCCACTACTGAATGCTCACAACTTCTCAAAAATCTTATTTAATGCCACTTACACAAAAATGCAAGTTTGTGCAAAACCAAGTGTCAGAGCAGATTTTTTTAAATTATCTTTTTAAAAAGTGAGAAATTGTTGTCTTTTGCAAGAGAAATGTCCAGAAACAGGCCATATGTGCACTAATTTTAATGCATTTCTAGACATGAAGAATCCAATTTATGTTTTGTACTGTTGAAGGAGCTTAATAGGAAACCTCAAGTAGGAGCTAATCAGATATTGTCAGTCAGAATGGGAATAAGCAGCCCTGGCCTTTCTGATTTGGACTTCCTCTTATAAGTGTAGCATTCGGTAAATTGAGTGCTTTAAGAGCTCAAGATATATATTACCTCTACTTATGACCAGTTAGCTGTGATACTCTATTTAAATATAAAATATCAACCCTGCTTGGTCTTTATTGTATTCATCAGAAGATTCTAGGATTGTTGCTTTATTAAGTAATTGTAAACACTTTGTTTTGATTCAGAAAACAGTCAGGTTTATAAAAGTAAGAATTTATTTTACAAACAATTAAAACATGACTAGCTAACTAAGCATTTACTGTGAGTGGATGGAATTAAATGTGATGTATAAACCTATGTGTCAATGCGGTGTTAGTCAGAACTTCCTTATCTAGGAAAGCTGAGTTCTGGATGTAAAAGAATTTGGTTTGCATAAACTATGAAGTTCTTATCAAAGACACATCAGATGCAATCCGTCATGTCTACTTCACCCGTTTTGGAGACCCTCGTGGTGTATCCGAAGGTCACAGGGGTCGGCTGACCTCTGGCACCGGAGGGCTGTAGAATACAGTGGTGCCGACTCTTCAGTCCAGAGATGTCTCGGGTCACAACAGCTGGATGGAACCGCGCATCTGGGACTCTTTAAGGAGTCCAACAATATTAGCTTTGTTCTGCAGGAACTGTTGCTTATCAGCTTCACAGGTGCAAAAAGGTTTTGACGACGTGTCAGAATCTGATGGTTAAAGAGGTGTGCTTCAGAGGGCCGGTGTGAACCTTTCTCTAGAACTGCCGAGTCACCCAGGGTGATCCAGTTTTAAGGTTTTGATATTATGATTTGCACGGCCAATCAAAGGCTGACAGGTTTGAGAGATGTTACCAAGACAACTCAGAAACACCCTTCCTTGATACCGGATGTTCTGAGTAAAAGGCCATTTATGTGTCAGAGTTGAACGTAACCGTACTTGTTATTGTGTGAGTGCAGATGTTATGACCTCGCCATATAAACATGCGGAACCACATCGCAATCATTATAGACATAACATTAATTTCACACTTCAATCATTGAGCACAGATTAATGAAGCATTTCATTATCAGTGTTGGGCAAGTTACTTCAAAACTGTAATGCTTTATTTATTACTTGTTACCCTCATTTAAAAGTAATTCATTACATTGCAATATTACTGATTTTAAAATGTAAGGCATTACACTACTTTTGCATTACTCTAAGTTACTTTCACCAAAACAACTTCAATATGAATCTGGTAATGTGATGCTCAGTGAGCTCATGACATGTATGTGGAAAGTGATGTGGTGTCTGAGCTAGGATTGCTGTTATAAACAGTCAGATATAATAACAGTGCTTTAAAATGATTGTTTATTAAATAAAAGCAACAGCAATCATACTCTCAGCACGCTGCCATCTTAGATTAACTGAGCAGGGAGTGAGGTGGTGGGGGCTCCAAGCCTATATTTGCCTTGGTCCCCAAATGCCTTGATACGGCCCTGGATGTGGGACTGACTTCTGGGGTGATCTGATTCTATCACATGTATAAATATTAAAATGCTTATGTATTATTGCTTTTCACTGGTAAAAATGTGTATTGGGGATAAATCTACCTACTTTTTTCTTTTTGTCTTGATTTTATGTGAATAATTTCCTGCCCTTTCTCTCTCTAACCTTCCTGCATGCTGCATGTTTTCTCCGTCTTCCAGAAAAAACTTTCCTAGATTTCCTACTTTCTAACGATCAGCCAAAGGGATCTTCACATGCGCGGCGCTCCAGCAGTAATGAGTTGAAATCACCGGGGCACAGATTATGAACTCAGCTGAGGCAAAGCACATCAGAAAAGCACAAAATACCAGAGAATCTGCGCTGATATGAACGATCGCAAGTGAATTATTTTGTTTCAGTGGAGCGATTTTGTGAATGTTGCAGCGGCCGCGTGGAGGACGCCGCTGGAGTATTTGAGCCGTTGCCGCGGCGTCCTCTCTGCCCGCAAAGCTGAGTCCATAAATGACGTAATATATGCAGATACTGATCTTACTTCGGGTTTCCCGCAATTTGAATTTTTAAGGAACACATCTTGATTCTGGGTTTAGAAATGCATTGTAATTACCGCGTTACTGACAATAGTACCGAGTAAATATTACCATTTTCTTTCCCTGTAATGCCTTACATTACCACATTACATCAAAAAGCAATGCATTACAGTAGTTAATTACTTTTGTACCGCATTACTCCCAACACTTTTCATTATAATATAATTATTATAAGTAGCAATAAACAAACGTTTATTTAATGATTATCTAGATTATAAGTCGTGGAATTGTTCATATTGATTCAGGAAATCACTCTTGGTTTAGCAACTGATCTGAGCTGGAGTGTTCCTTATGTGGAGGTCTTGGGGAAAGAAAGCTATTGTTGTCATACCAGGAGAGTCTCTGAGCTCCAGCTGGAATGAAGGCAGGCTCGTGTAAAGGGAACACATGCAGTCGTGTGTCTCCTGTTTGACCAGATGTTGAACAGATGTTGAATGGTCAAACTGTACCTAAAACTGACCATTGCTGGGCGTTACATAAGTCACGTAAAAGACCAGTGGAGGAGTGAGTTGCTGAGATTAGAGTGTGCATATGTATGCATGAAGCCACACCAAGCCTTAGCCATTCCTTTTTTTTTTTTTTGGTGCATATGGATCAGTATTCCTGACATGTGTTGCCCCTTTGCACAATAAACAGCAATGGGAAGAAGCAGCCCCTTACAGCCTTGGAACACAGAGCCTTCTTTAGACACTGCATGAGAATGGATGGCTTTGACATTATCAGCAAAGCCAGCTTGTCTCACATGCCTGTAGTAGAGAAGACGGGCTGAGATCAACCTGTCCCCTCAATCCTTGCTGTCGCAGTGATCGAAAAGGCTGTTTTTCATCACTACTTGTATCTTTCTTTAAAAAAAAAAGTGGTGCTTTTCTGTGATTAGGAAGATTTGCCACCACAGTCAAACACACAAACAGATTCAAGTGTCTTATGAATAACATTTCATTTCCAGTTTGGGGAGGAGGGGGATGTAATTCTTAAACGTCTATCAAAGTAGATAAATACAAAATGAGGCGATGTAGCAAAGTGTGTAACACCTCAAAACTAAGAAGGGACCAGTGGAGAAAGAAAAGATGGCTTGACACATAGAAAAGTGAGAGAAGTAGATTTAATTACCTCCCAACAAAAGGAATGTGATGTGCCGAGCATGAACCATCTCTGGGGAGTTCAGCGCAGACAGCTGTGATGGATAAAGACTAGAGTGTCCTTGTGTTCATAGCTAATTGATTTAATGTAGGGCTGAATATTCAGAGCTGTGTCGCTAATGCAAACAATTGATAGCTTAAAGTGTTCATCTTGATGCGTGTTGACAGCCAGTGTGCTCAGTCATACCTCCCCGCTCGTGTAAATCGACAAGGCTGTCACGTTCGCCTGAGATTTGACAATGGGAAGATTTCTCAGAGCTCCAAACTGAATGACACTGATTGTTTCTTTCCACTTGTTTTGTCGAGATTTTTCACACTTGTTTTTCCCTATTTCCTTGCTACAGGTGCCGCTGCCCCCCGCAGCTCGAGGGGCCAAATTGTCAGCAGACAAGACTTAGTTTCCTTGGCAACGGCTATGCCTGGTTTCCTCCCATAAGGCCTTGCTTTGATAGCCATCTTTCACTCGAGTTTATGACAGAGGAGGATGACGGACTGCTGCTCTACGCGGGTCCCTTGGCGACTCTTTTACCTGGGGATAGTGAAGACTACTTGGCAATAGGTAAAAAGGAGTCTGAATAATTAACCGAGTGGCAGGGAGAGCTTGGGCTCTAAAGGCTGAAACTTAATTTTGTGTGTTTAATTACTGTGCAATAGCTAATCAGCAGCAAGTATGGGGAAAGTTTTATGTTTCTGTTTACTGTTGAGGCTTATGAGCACTCAGTCAAGCAAGTTACACAGCAAGAGCTAAATGTGATGCTTTACAGAGTGAACAGCTTCACTATTAAAGAAGTAAAATTATTCATGTGTTGCCTAATTCATTAAGATCAGATTTTTTAAAAGACTATTGTTAACGGAGATTCCTTTCCTGTGTTTTACCAGAGTAGCAAAGATAAATGGACCTCCCTAAAACCCAAATAACATTTGCTAAATCATTTTTGTGTCTGCAGCCTTCTCTCGTGTGCACCTTGCTTGAAACTTAATGAAATCTCTAACTTGTTTGAGTTTCTCTAAACAGATAACCGCTTTAACATGTTTAGGACGGGAAGTTGTTTTATGAAAATCGTATCCATGTTTGGGTTAAAGTGACAATGTGTCATTTTTACCATTCGTCTCTGGAAATATTCAACAGAATGTTGTTTAAATTAATTACGTGATGCCCAGTTGTTGAAAAATAGTGGCAGGTTTTTAAACAAATAACCATGAAAATCGGGTCTAAAACACGTGAGAGTGGGTCTAAAGCACGGGTAGGGAACCCTGGTCCTGGAGAGCCACTATCCAGCACATTTTAGAGGTTGCCCTGCCTTAAAACACCTGATTTTAATCAGCAGGTGATTAAAAGGCTTCTGCAGAGGCTGATGAGCAGTTGAACAGGTGATTCAACTTTGTTGAAGCAGGGCGACCTCTAAAATGTGCTGGATAGTGGCTCTCCAGGACCACGGGTAGGGAACCCTGGTCCTGGAGAGCCACTATCCAGCACATTTTAGAGGTTGCCCTGCCTTAAAACACCTGATTTTAATCAGCAGGTGATTAAAAGGCTTCTGCAGAGGCTGATGAGCAGTTGAACAGGTGATTCAACTTTGTTGAAGCAGGGCGACCTCTAAAATGTGCTGGATAGTGGCTCTCCAGGACCAGGGTTCCCTACCCCTGGTCTAAAGCCTGGGGCACATGGAAGGCAGATGCACTGCGCCAACACGCCGTGCCGTCATTTAAAAAAGAAGACGTTATAGCTACAAGGGGTGCAACGCCATGCTTCAGAAGTGCCGGTCTGCACGAAGCGCTGAAGATAGGCGCTGTGGTACTGCTGTTTACAACATTGTGGAGTACTTTTTGGCACAGCACGGCTCTACGGCACAAACCCAACCGCCAAAACATGGACGAGGAGCTTATAAATGCTACTGGATTATAGTATTGATAACTTTAAAGTACTATTGATCTTAAAGTATTCTAATAAATAGCTTACTTACCCACTTTAAATGAGTTGAAGTCTCGCAAAACACGACAGCAAGTCTGATCATGTATGAACAAAACAGTCACTTTCCGCTTCCTGTTCTCGAGTCCAGCATGATGCGTGTCTATCGGGCGATTTTCCAAGAAGCATTCAGCGGCCCATCAAGTCCTGTGTGACCATTTGACTTCCCAAAACCGCGGCGCTTCCGTGGTGCAGCGCATCTGTCTTCTGTGTGCCCCAGGCTTAAGTCTCTGGGCGACGCCATATTAGATGCGATATTTCCTTCTATGGGAGCCTGTTCCGACGCCAGCCCCGTAAAAAAAATGCACTTGATGACTTTAGTCATCATTGGCAGCGAGCGGTTGGATTTAAAATAATTTTTGTCATCAATGGCAGTAAATGAGTCAAAATTGAACAAATAACATGAAAAATAAACAAAGCACTTTTTTACTTAATAGAAAAACCTCTAAACTGTTAATCAAGTTAACTAATCACCAGCAAGAATAAACTTTCGCAAAAGGCAAAGTTTTTTAATGTAATCGATCACAGATGTGTTATGAAGCCATTTCCAGGCAATTTGAAGTCATTCTTCAGAGGAAATAGTATTCTGAAGCTGCAAACCTTTAGGACAGTTGTCAATCTTTGCTAAACTCGATCTCCAAGCAAGTGTGCACAACGCAATACTTGGAAAAATTGCAGGCTTCATGAACTGCATCTTAAATTTGACAGGCTTTAGATAAATGTTAAAAGTTTTTGACAGCACAAAAATAAAATACAACTTTGTAAGTGTGGTTTCTTTGAAAAGCTGCCAGGCTGTAGTCTCCTCACTATAAAAGAACATGGTACTGTGGCTTAGGGGTGGAGATCTTCACATACACCTTACTTATCTCAAGTTTCTTTCGCATGTTGGTTCATTTCAAGGTTTCCCAATTACCCTAACCCGGTCGTCAGGTCCCCCTGCTCTGCATATTTTCCTGCTGCCACACACCTGACTTACATGAATGAGTGATTAACAGGCATCTGCAGCACTTGACGACATCCTAAGGATGCAATGCAAATATGTAAATCAGGTGTGCTGAAACAGAGACATGGAAAACTTGCAGGACACGGGATCCTGAGGACCAGAATTGATAAACACATGTCTATTTTGTGTCGAAAGAGACATAAACTCCTTATTTTAACAGCTGGGACCTGGAAATAGTTTTGGACAGAAAGAAACCAAACTTTTCAGGTCCATTACTTGGGCAAAGTTATGGAGATCGGCTAAAATTTCAATCCAGAGGTGATTGATCTTTTACAGTCCTTGCCCCAAAACTCTGGAATGACCGCCCGCTTCATGTCAGACAGGCTCCATCACTTGTTGTTTTAAAATCTCGTCTGAAAACACACTTTTATTCCCTGGCCCTCAGTTAAGAATGACCTGTGGCACTTGTTTGTTTTATGGTTTGTCTTATGGATTTCTTTTTATCTTGTTTTTATTGTTTTGACTCTTTTTAACTTTTCTTTTACCTGTTATTGTTATGGGTATCTTTTATGTTTATTTTAGTGTTTAGTGGGTTTCTTTGGTTTGATCTTTGTATTGTTTCTAAAGTGCTTTATAAATAAAGTTGCTATGCTGTACAAAAAGTTCCTAGTTGAGACAAAAACAGATAAAAAAATGTCCAAGCATTATAAGCTTGTATCCTTATGAGCCTAAATAAAGCATTCAACGTCTGAGTTGACAATGCAAAGTGTAAATGAAGAATAAATTATGTTTTAGTATTTCTGAAGTGTAATGAATGCAGGATGATTCGAATTTTAGAATTTGGGTAAAGAAAAGGTGAGGAGGTGGATTTTTGTAGTCGTAGAGGAAAAAGGTGTTTTATTTCTTCTCTTTAATCAGAATTACTGACTAAAAAAACTTTTTTTTTCAAACCCCAAGAAGTCTAAACAAAGTGCCATTTATGATTTCCATGTGTTAAGATTTTGTTTTAAATATGTTGTTTTTTTAAACCATTGCTGGCAGAATTGTATGTATTATTTCCCAAAGTAAAGCAAATACATTTGCCTACAGTTCAGAACCGGTAAAGTAAAGTTTATCTTTTACTCAACTAAAACCTGAAAACCTAAAATGTAAAGATGGTTCGCTTACCTTTTTATTATGATCTTGCATGTGAACTATGATTGGACCCACCAGCATGGAGCGGTAAGTGGTGTCAGCTGGGGAAGCAATGAACTCTTTAAGCTCTTCACAGGTTACAGCGCTCAGTGAAGTCAGCCTTTTTGCTTTCAGAGGTTTGGAGTCTGACTTACATGCTTGAATACTTTGTGCAGTCAAGTTCACATAAAACTACAGGGAAAAAAAACTAAAGGACACATCAGAGTCATTTTGCCAAAGATTACAAGCAGAATTTTGGGAGTTGATGCTTCATAAAAGACAATGTCCATTCAGCAAAAGGAATGATGTACAAATTTTGAAGTAGCTTAACAGATTCTTGGTTTTTCTTCATTTCTGATGAAACTGGTTTGTCAGTTGGTTTAAAAAATATGATTTCTCAAGTAAAATGTTTGGCTTATAGTTCATTTCATCAGTTTGCTATTGATCTTCTTTACATTTTACATGCACCAGCAGCTGTTTTTTCCCCCATTATCTTTTTTTTGGACATAGTTTAGAGATGTTATTCTTTTTTCACTTTCTTATAAGAATTTTACTTAGATGCATTGTTCTCTTAAATATTAGTTAATTCCAAGATCAATCTTTCATAGAGTTGATTGGTGGGACGCCCAGCCTTAAAATCAACCACGGATCTGGAACCCTGGTTCTCCAGTTAACAAATGTCGCTGTGGCTGACAGACGCTGGCACCGCCTCGATGTGAGAAGCAACAGTAAAGTAAGAGGCGTGCATTCATGCCAAAGTGTCACATTTTCACCTTGTGTGCAGAGGAAATGACATTAGAAGAAGAAATGGGTAAAGATCCTAGAAAGTGTCACTTCCAGCAGTGATGACCTCTCCCTTCGTTCTCCTTCAATTTACAGGAAGTGCGCTTCACTCTGGATCGATGCTCCAGTGCGATTGTCATGGAGGCAGAAGGTGTGGGATCATGGGTGATGACAGAGGATCGCTCATCCTGTGAAATCCGAGGGGTCACGCCCAACAAGGACAGGTAGGATCAATAATTAAAGGAAGGATAAAGATGTGGCTAAGGGATTTACATAAAAGCCAAGCGAGGTAAAACCCGCTATTCTGTTTTATAAGAGTCTGTAAGAACCAACCCTCTGGGTTAAACACGGTCTATTGGTGAGTCTATTGTCAACAATCAAAACAGGCTGCGTTTTTGGTTAACATAAAGATAAACTCAGTATTTTTTATGGTTTTATCAGTTTGAATAGACTCACATTTAGTTTTTAAGAGCTTTCAGGAGGATGTTCTGTGAAAATACAAGTCTGTCTCCATTTGCTGCTTTCAAATGTCAATAGAAGCTTGCCCCAAAGGGAAAGTGCTTATTTTAAAAGCATCGTTTTACCACCTGGCATTTGGAGCATTAGCTGTTTTCACTGCAGCGTGTTACACAGTGCTGTAAGTAGAAGACAAACAGTGATGTGGAAAAATGTAAAAAATGTTTACATTTCTGATTTGGAGAATTTTTTAAAGAGATTTATTAGCTAAATCAAAGTAGGTTATGCAAACCGAGCTAAATCCTGAATTAACACCAAAACAACAAGATCAAGATGAAAATGGAAACCAAGGACGATATGAATCAGGAGGGTTCTTTAGTGGATGGGCATTAGGTGAGCTGGTGGACAGATGGGACTCAGCCGTGAGTAAAGAGAAACTATATCTCAAATGCATAGAATTTCAAAAAGCTATTGTGCAAAAATACAAGACTGCAAAAAAATAAATAAATAAACACCTTTACAATACAGCAAAGTAACGAAAACAAACAAGGAAACCAAAGTTTTACTTCAAAAACAAAATGCAGAAAACACATTTATTTATCCTAGAGCTTGAAAGTTCTGTATTAAACGTTGCATTCTGATAATCAATTAAAATGTATTTATGAAGCGATTTTCATACAAATGCAGCTCAAAGCGCTTTACCATATTAAAAACAAACAGGCAGCAGTCGGTTTCCCACCCCTCCCACACAGATTCACATACGAGATCCCCTTTGTATCTCCCTCCTCCCACCCTCAATCCCATCCCAAGCAGATGCAAACTCACACACACACACACACAGACATATACACATACACACACACACACACACACACACACACACACACACACACACACACACACACACACAGTTAGAGAACAACACATTCTCACTCCCAGCGCGTCAAAAACAAACACTTGGTCAGCCACCCTCCGCCTCAGATCACTGACGCCAAAAGTGTCCTTTTTCGTTACTTATGTGCGAAAAGGGTTTTTTCCCTTTTCTGACTGCAGATCCCAACGCAGCGTTACACTGACGCAATGGGATGGCCGCAGCCAGCCAGGGCACCAAACAAGCTCATTGTACCTCACCCTAACCTTATCCTCTTGTCATTTAACCTTCCCCTCACCCCATCCTAACCTTAACCATCTTGCTAGCAAACATGTTAGTGATGTGTCGGTCGCTCTAAAAGCTGGCTCTATGAAGTGAACGGCGGGAGCCGCCTCGTCATTGGTCGAGTTTGGTCTGAGGCAATGCGAGGGGGAGGTTTCAACTACCAAGGTGGAGGTTAAAAGTAGAGGGTATTTGTAACCTCCCCCTCGCCAGATGGCATGTTCTAACGTTCCCCTTGGGCGGCAATTATGAAATTGCACAGTCAGAATGCATGGGAAACAAACGCTTGATCACAGTGAGGGTAACGTTTTAGGTAGCAAGAGGGTTAAGGTTAGGATGAGGGTGAGGGGAAGGTTATAAATAGCAAAACGTTATGGTTTAGGTGCGGTTAAATGAGCTGGTTCGGTGCCGCATCAGCGGACATCCTATTGCGTCAGTTTTATGCTGCATTGGGATCTGCAGTCAGTAAAAGGAAAAAACCCTTTTCGCGCATAAGTGATGAAAAAGGACACTTTTGGCTTCAAAGGTCTGATGCGGAGGGTGGCTGACCAAGTGTTTGTTTTTGAAGCGCTGGGAGTGAGAATGTGTTGAAGAGAAAGGGCTGCTGACTGAGTGCAGATGTGGTAGGCACAAAGAAGACTGAAACGCCATCATAGGAGCCAACTGCAGCGGAAGCAGCAGGATCGGCAGCAGTAGCCTGGGCAAGAGGAGGCACGAGAAGCACCCCAGCCACCACAGCCAACTGCTGCCCCCGGGGCAGTCAGCCCTCACAGAGGAAACACTGGTTTACTAATGAGGCTAAGATAACAAGTTAAGAAACAAATTAAACATAAACAGCTGATAAATAAAATTCTAAATAAAACACACTGATAAAAGTTAACCAAGTAGAAACATATAATTAAATATATAAAAATATTGTACAACAGAGTAGTAATACTGGTTAAAACTAATATTTATTACAAGTTAAAATTAATATAAACAAAAATATGTGTCATTTAAGTAAAAGAGTAAGTAATAAAACACTGATAAAAATTGAAAAAATGGTAAAACAGGCTAAAATAGATCAAAATCAATTAAAAGCTAGACTAAAAGGGTGAGTCTTGAGCCTGGCCTTAAAAACAAGAACACTCTCTATGGCCCTGAGGTCCCCTGGCAGACTGTTCCAGAGGTGAGGGCCATAAAACTAAAACTAAAAATAAATTGTAATGAACTGCAGGGCTACGTTCTATGTAAATTATCCAACCAGAAACCAAACAGTGGGTCAATGAATGTTTTTTTATTCTCTGGTTGAGTAGTTACCTTCCAATGATCAATGTTTAATTAGGTTTTCTATAGATTGAAAAGCAGCATAAATAAACCTATCACACATTTTTAGTGATGTTTCATTTGGGATCTGGGCCTAGAAATAAGGGTAGGAAAGGAATTTAAAGTAAAAAAAAGTAAATATTGTTTTGATCAGTTAGTAAAATATGCATGCAGGACATTTCCAACAAATTTAGTTATTTAATCTTAGGGCACCCCCCCCCCCCCCCCCCCCCCCCCCCCCCAGCACAGAAAACGGATCAGAACCTGTTATCTAAAACAGTACAGGCGGTATTATTAAAATGAAATCAGATGGTGTCTCGACTCTCCTACTGCCAGACTGCGCTCCCTGGAGGGATAAGTAATAAAAAAAAAGAAAACTGTTGATGAATTTCTGAGATATAATCCTTAAAATGCCAATTAATCTGTCTGTCTGTTTGTGGCAGCTTTTGCTTGGTTACAGCTCTGCTTGTTTACTACCACTATGGCCTTGGCGTGCCACTCTGAGCTCATTATTATGTTGTGCAATTAAGACGCTAGAATATTAAGTTAACACTGTACAAACACAAACATTGTTTAGCAGCTGTTCTATTACTTGTAAGATGTTTAGAGTTTTTTTTTAGAAGCCATTTCACTATCTGTCTGCACCGGGTTTCAGTTTTAGATTGATTGGTAATGCCTTTACACAAGCTTCATGGCTTCCTGCTTTGTCCATGGGCCACCACTTAATTAAGCTTTGTAGAGTTTGGCTTGATAATTTTTGCATAATCTTGCTAGCCAAATAAACAGAAGAAATGAACAGAATTAAAAACATCCCGCTGAGGCTGTGCTTTAACGCTTGCCTTGGCAGAAGATTTATCACTTTGTGCGTGCAGTTTTGAAAGTAGTGGAGGTGCTGCAGTAAATCGCTTTGCAGTTTGATTGTTTTTGACAAATGTAATTTCCCCATCACGCATATTTTCTCAAATAAGAGAAAAAAAACAATAAAAAAGGTGTCACATTTGTTTTCTGTAGGTAGTGAAGGTGATGACAGCCTCAGCAAGAACTGAAGGAAACTATGAATTTTAACTTTGACAGCTTGTGTAGTGTGTATACGTGCTCTAATCCATCTGCTTGCTGTGTGTGTGTGTGTGTGTGTGTGTGTGTGTGTGTGTGTGTGTGTGTGTGTGTGTGTGTGTGTGTGTGTGTGTTCTATTGTGGGCTGTGTTTTGAATTGTAACCTTGAGAACTGACGTGGTACCTGTTACCTTTTCCTTCAGCTCACATTCTTTGCTTGTTCTTCAGGTATCTGAATGGAAGTCATGTGCTGCAACTCGGCGGAGTCAATGAGAACATGTCATATGAATATCCACAGCTACAACACAAACACTATACTGGCTGTATAAGGAACCTGCTCGTAGACAGCAAGGTAACGGAGAAGTTCGGCACCTCCCTATGGCTGGATGAATAGATTGCTATATTGTACCCCTTTATTTTTTTACCTGTTGGATGACAGGCCCCACAGGTGATGGAGGACTCTACTTTAATAAGAATGTAAATGCGACCTCAAGGCTGCACAGGAAAACCTGATGAATGCTGATGCTCTTCGTTCATCATTTTTCCTTCTGGTCAGATTCACTCTGACTCTCTGGATGTTGCTCCATCCCTAAAATATCCTCAAATACAAAAACAGAAGCACCAGCCAGGAGTCATAAAAGGATCTCACAAGGTTTCTGACATTATTTAGGTATAATTTGCTAATGCACTAATGTGGACATTGAATTTTAGTTCGATTAGTTGTTGTTTTTGAACATGTTTTCCTTTTGCATTTTTAGAATTTGGCGTATTATGGTTTATTTCACAATAATCCAATTTAGTATGTAAAGTCAAATTAGCTGTAAATGTTGACCGAAGAGTGAAACAATTAGTTTTGTGCAAATGTGATATGAACTAGGCATTAGCAGCCCATTGTCATCACATAATGTCTTTCTCCTGCAGTTAGTTGCAGGTGTCCGTCTGCATTATATATGAATGCATTTGTTTTGCTGCTGTGAAGTCAATTTTAGTTTCCTGATGTTGACTTTGTTGTTTGAAATATATATATATATATATATATATATATATATATATATATATATATATATATATATATATATATATATAGAACTGGTTTAAATGTAAACATTTGGTGTCAATCCCTCATTGTTGCTTTCACAATCATTAGAACATAATTTTATTCTAATTATGTTATATTTTAAGCTCTTTTTGGACACCAACTTCCACTTTTCATCACACAATCTCTGCTTCAGATTCTAAACCAAATATAAAAATAAACATAAAAAGTGGAGCTTTAATCAATACAGCATACAGCCAGCCTACATCAAACTTTCCACACTGCAATTAAAACACCAAAACACATCAATATAATCAGCCAGACATATAATAAAGTGCACAAGGAGTTCAATAGAATTAGTGTTCACAAAAACACACACAGGTTTATTTCTAAATCCCTGTTAGGAGAGTTTATTGACATATTCCATTCCCCAGTTTGTTACGCTAACTTTAATCTAAAATGCTGCAGTCATTAGACGGATTTAGAGTAGTCCATGAGGTTTTCAACCCTTTACCTCATCGTAACTCTAATCAGAACTCTAAACCCAACTTTAACACCCAAGAAATTATTTGTACTCATAAGGAATTCTTTTTTTGTCACTTTTTTTAGATTAAGTCCTCATAAGTTACTCAAAAAGTGTTGGACCCTATTCTGATAGAAACACACACACACACACACACACACACACACACACACACACACACACTTGCATTTGTATCCTTGTGTGGACCCTTCATTGACTTCCATTCATTTCACTGTCTTCACTATGCCTTACCCTTTCCCCAGCCCTAACCTTAACCATTGCTGGTATATTTCTAACCCTAACCTAAAGCTCCTTTCCACCACACCTCTAACACCAAGTATTAAGGTGTTTTTACACTGTGTGGACCAGCCAAATATCCCAACAATATCAAAATGTCCACACATTACAGGTTAACATTCAAAATTTGTCCACTTGAACATTTAAAGACAAGTACACACAATCACATGCACGTTGTGAGTGAAGGATTTCAAGGAATTTGGAAAATCGCCTTGTAATTTTTTTTTATCCTGACTGATGGGCTGCAGCAGGTTCTTAATATTTTTTTGTTTTTTTAGATGGTTTTCCTTTTTCAGCTAAATATAGTTAAAAAATTGCTAAAAAATGTACCACCGAACGTGAAGCCATGTTTCACACTGGCTTCATGTTAATTTATAGTAATGATACAAAGATTCTCTGACAGCTAATTGGTCCCTTAGTTGATTGTGGGAGGGGCTTAATTGATTGTGGGTGTAGTTTGAATCATAGCAGACAGTTAACCAATTATGACATTGTGTCTATATATATATATATATATATATATATATATATATATATATATAAACTGGTGGTTTAGCTCAGGTTTTTTAACACCGTTAAATGCGTCGAAGATAAACTGCTAATTGTCTTTATTTACAAAGATAGTCACACATAATTTTGATCAGATCATCATAAATGTGCTAAATTAGCAAGAACAGAATGCTGATGACAGTTTCCATTTGCCTGTTGTGAAACCAGGCAGGCCGCGCACGTTTTCACCCTCAATGTGCACAAGTTTTATTTATGTCTTTTTACGAATTTGAGGTTGTATTTACCTCGTTGGGAGAGTGATTTTATATTTTTCAATTTTTTTAACTGTAGAATTCCCAGAATTCTAACACAACTAGAACTCCCACTAACAGTCAGTTTGACGGCTGGCATTCTGGCCACAAAATGCAGGCTGGCGATGCTATCATGTTGCAAAACAGTTCTAGTTAACTCATTATGATCTGTAAACCTTATAACACGGTAAAAAAATATGATTGTAATCAAAACCTCGGAAGAACGTTTCTCCATCAATGTGGCTGACACGGATCCAGAGTCTCAGCCGCTTCCTCCCTGACCAAAGCAGCATCCTTTCTAATGCTTGTTCCACTGGGAACACTCTTCCAAAACCCATTTTAGCAGCTATTTTACACGGAATATGACCAGAGAGTGAAAGCGTGAGCTAGAAAGGTGGTTGCTTAGCAACGGTGATGCTGTCCATCATCCGTAGGAGACATTCAGTCAGACTGATGGGTCGTGGGAGACATAAACATTGTTTTATGCAAGTGATGACTTGGAAATAAAGGACACATGAATGGGAAAAGTCAGGAATCCAGGACAACACGAGATCCGTCAAACAAAATGTATTATGTACCAAAATATGAAAACTCAAAATGACTGCCTTGGGAGTTCTAGTGTTAATAATATTAAGTACTAATAGGACGCTGTTTTTACCCGGATTACTTTACCCCTCAGAACCACTAGAACAGAAACATTCAACTCAGTACCCTCCCTTTCCTGTGTTCTTTTCTCTTACAAATCTTCCTCCTGTTCCTTTTCCACCTTTTCCCTTTAGTTGTACGACCTTGGTTCCCCTGCTGAATCCTCCAACACTTTGCCAGGCTGCAGTCTTATTGATAGCCACTGCACCGACATGGAGCAGATCTCCTCCTGTGGCAAGAGGGGCAGCTGTCACTGGGAGCGGAGCTCCTTCAGCTGCCTGTGTGGAAAAGGGTTTACAGGCCCGCACTGTGATCAAGGTAAGCATGCAGAGTTGCTTTTCAGTGGCCATGATGTTTTCAGACTGTTTTGAATCTGAGTCTCACGAGGTGCGCAAACCAAATAGAAAACTTGCTGGTGTGGGAAGATAACCCCTCCCTGCATAAAGTGGTTTCTCACAGCTGCACACTCTTTGCTGCAATCCCCTCGTGTATTTTTGCCAAGTGACAGTTGAAAATATTGAACAAGCCTTTTGTGTGTTTTTTTTTTTTTTTTTTTTTCATTGATTGACAAGCAGCTCCAGAGTTCTCCTTTGATGGGCGGAGCCACGTTCAGCTCCAGCTGCTGTGGTCTCTTCCAGCACGACAGACAAAAGTCCAGGTCGGGGTTCGGACACGTTCAGCCGCAGGTGTCATCCTCAGCGTGTTGTCCCAGGAGCAGAGCGAATACCTACGCTTAGAGGTGAGTCACAGCTGGTCACTCGCCTCCACCTTGACAGCTCTGATTGTCTTATTTGTGAGCTCTAAAACGATGATTAGGCCTTGCAAATGATTGCTGGAGAAGCTTGTCAGGCGAAGAGTGAGTAATATCAGGGTTGGAGACATAGGGGTGGATACTGAGGGGGCTGGTGAGTGACATATGTATGTTCTTAACAGGCTCTGTCAGTGGGTCTGCAGAATGTTGTTTTTGCAAGGATTTCCTTTATAAAAGAATAGAAACCTTCTTTAGTTAGGGTTATTTCTGATTTTTGTTAATGTTTGAAGCTCAGTTTAATACGGCAAAAGGGAGTTTTCTCTGCAATAAACGAAAGGTCAGATGTTCACTTTTAGGCATTGTTTGTGTCAAGTGGTTTGCTCAAAGTCATGTCTGCATACAAGCTGCTTGCTTTACCGCCACTTGAGTGGAAGGGTGCTTGCACAGTTTAGGTCTACTTCACTTTCCAAACCTCTATAAAAGCATGCCTGTGCTGTCTGACACATTCCTGAGTGTTTATGAAGGCGGCGTTCCTTGTCAAGGCATTTCATCTCGTCACCCGACAGGCCAAGTGGTAACAGCACCTGGATGTAAACGACGCTGGTAGGACTGTCACTCACAGGTCACCTGTTTGCACCGAACCTGCCTCTGTTTCTGTGGTTTTCGCACTCCTGGCCTGTCTCTGAAGACATCTCGTCTCTGTGCTAGTGCTTGTCATTTGTCAGACAGTATTGTTTAAAGCGCTGTTTCTTGTTCTTCATTGGGGTTTTGTATGCTACATGAGGAGAAACAATGGTGTCCTCCTCCCTTGTTGCAGTCCCACAGCGACGGGAAAAGGAAAAAGGCTGTAGTCTTTAATGTGCTATGAAGCCTCTCTCAGCTGTCCTCCATGGAACTGAATTGGTGAGCTGCATAAAGCATCTGACGTCTGTCTGCAGCCGGCACGCTGAAACATTTTCCAGCCTTGTTGTCCCAAAGCTCGCAGAAACATTTGTGCGTAAGCCTACTGTGTTTTCCAACAACAAGCTCTAATTTAAAAGGGCTGCCTCCCTGCCCTTTTTTCTTAAGGGTAGCTATGGAATAGAGTGCACACTGAATAAATAACCACACTTTCACACAGAGGTTATCGGGGGTAGCTGGGTAGAAACAGCAGGCACCTCTCTGAGGAGTATGGTCTCTGTGTAAAGAAAACATTTATCCGATGTACCGAGAAGTTTTTTGGAAGTGTCTGGAATGCACAGTTCATTTAAACCCCACGTTGAACAGAAGTAGCAGTTACCTGTAAACATTTGAAATAAAAGTGCTACAATTGAGTAGTTTGAAGAAAAACATGGATAGCTTTAGCATTTTTGGCAGCCACCAATTACTAACACCAAACTACTTTCACTTAATCATACTAAAGGCTTGAGGCAACAATAATAGTTTTGAATCAGCCATTTTAAATAGGGTTGATTGGTGATTTTGTGCAATAAGGATATAATGAAGTGCAATTGAGAGATTAAACAAAACTTTTTCTTATCTCTCCTTAGATGCATAATTAACACAGGAACTCCCAGAATTCTTTTTTTTTTTTTTACCGTGTCCTGTCTGGCTGTGAAGCAAACAGAATTAATGTCTGAATGCTGGTGACAAGCCTTACAGATTTACTCTCAGGTGGAGCATCAAAGCGTTTGCTTTTAATGTCACGCCTGATACTTAAAACTTTATTGTTATTGTTGTTGAATGCTTTTTAATTCCGACCAGAGGTGAAAGAGAAAGGAAAAGAAAATGTGTGTGTGTGTGTGTGGCGGGGGGGGGGGGGGGGGGGGGGGGTCCACAAAAATAAACAATGAACAAGAGTCTGCTTCTAGACCTGCAGAAAAAGACAAAAAAAAAGCAAAAGGACAAAAAAAAGGGACACAAAAACAATACAACAAGATCTAGCTATCACTGCATCGGCTTGATGAAAAAATATATAATCAACATTGCTTAACTGAAGAATCACGATGATAAGTCACAGTGCATTAAGTGCCCACCATAGTCTTAAGACCTGTGTTTAACGTGCCCCAGAACTCCCAGAATTCTAACTTCACTTGAATTTCCAGCAACCGTCAATATGACGGCTGTCATTTTAGCCTTTAATTGCTGGCTTACTGTGATGTTGTGGAGCTAAACGGTTCAAGTGCGATATTAATTAACTCTTTGTGGATGTGTGAACCTAATAATATGGTAAGAAATATAATTTTAATTCAAACCCTGAAAAGAAGTCTCTCTATTGTTCGCTGGGTGATCGACGCGACTCCTTTCCGTGGGTGGAGGCGAGGGGTCGGAGATCGTCCTCCGTGAGTCCCAGCCTCTTCCCACTGACCGGTTTTCATCAGCTTTCCTCTCTCCGTCTGGAGCAGCATCATTTTTAAAGCTTGTTTCACAGAGAATGTTCTTCTCAAAGCTGTTTTAGCAGCTATTTTACTCGGGGTTTCAACTGAGAATGACCGTGTGTAAGTTGGAAAGTCGGCTGCTTAGCAATGGTGACGCTGTCCATCATCCATTGGAGAACTTTACTATGTAACCAGTAAAGCTGTCAGACTGACGACTTGTGGAAGACAAAGACAAAAACAAATTTATTTCTTTTTTGATGCATTATTTTATGGAAATTATAACGTAAAAATAGTCAAAATGACTGACTTGAGAGTTAGTGTTCAAAAAATAGCTGATGATACTCACTGAATCGTTGACAACCAACTGCTTTAACCATGAACTTAATACAAATCAAATAAAAATTACAATTAAATTAGATTCAATTAGATGAGATGTCCACCAGAAACCGCAAATTTGAGACACTTGTGCTGAGAGGAATACAGTTAATGCAAGCCGGGCTGAATGTGAATCATCTAGCTCTACTCTTTCCAATTAAGCTTTTGATAACAACAAGCTGCAGTTGTTTGAGCCTGACATTGGCCAAGTCTATTGTGTTTGCTCATCCCTAACTGCTGAAGATAATTATTGTTTCATGTGTACCTTGCCTAGCGGGTGACTGTGTCATGATGTGTGCAGCGTCTTCACAACACATTTCTGCTGCAAATTAGCAGAGTTAATTTTCACGAGTAAAATTTTCATCCCATGTTTTTAATCTACCAGGTTCCCAATTGAAAATCTTGTCTGGGTGCTCAAATTTCACAAACTCCAGCCTTGCTCAACCCTAGCTGCCTTGTCCTCACCTTGGGAGCTGGCCTACTTCCTATAATGTTGTTATGCTCAAGAGCTGGGTTTTTTGCCCGTCAACAGTGCACAATATGTCAGAAATTCAGCTCTGTCAGACTGCCAGTCTGCTAGGATTTGTGTTCCCTCATTTTGCATTTTTATTCTTGAAATCTACACTGAGAAAACGTGTGTTGCTGCAGCAGCTGACAAAACTAAACAGCTTGTTTTACGTCAGCATAAAGTAACCCGAAAGTAGAGTTATAATGCTTCAAACACAGAACTGGAATGCTGAATACTAAAATGTTTTATTCTGCAATATTTAAAATGAAGTTGCTTCTCTGTTTTTCAGATCATTCAGGGTCTGCTGGCTGCTTCTTACAACCTTGGGGATGGAGACTACAACGTCACGCTGCCCTCTCATCGCCTTGATGATGGGGAGTGGCATGAGGTGGAGCTGGATCGCTATGGCAGAGAGTTTACGCTCCGATTGGACCGAGGTGGGGGGCGGTTAGAGGTGACAGCTTCACCTGGCCAAAGTCAGGAGATCATCATAGATCCGTCTGCCGTCATGCTTGGAAACTCTTTTCCTTCAGGACACAACCACAGCTTCCTGGGTAAGTGTCTGCTTTCCTGTGTTGAACAAATGAGAGTAAATCTTTTCACAATGCTTACAAAAAAGATGCTGTGTTCCTCATTACAGCATCACTGCAAAAACGCATCTTTTGTGGAGTTTTTTTTTTTTGCCTTGAAAAACTCATAAGTGAACCTTTCAGTTGGATTATAAGGTCAAAGTTACATTTTTATACATTTTCTAGGTTTATCACATCCTTTTAACGCCGGGGACACACCGGCCGCGGAAGCGCCGCGAAGCGCCGAGAAGCGAATCGCTCACGAAATTCGGCCGCTGCTCGCTGCTCCTCAGTTCAGTTCGTGTGGTTTTTGCTGCCGTGTCTGATTACGAACACATTTGACTATTGCGGAATTTTATTTTGAAATGCTTTATTTTGTTAACTTTACCGGCCTGCCTCTTATGTCTAGGTTTGACTTCCTGCCAGAATTGACGCGATTCACCCGCGGCTTGCGAAAAAAATAGAGCCGACGCCGAAATGATCGCTGCACGTCGCGGGCTGGAGCGCCGGCGGCCCATGTGGTCAATAGAGTAGGACGCAGAATGAAGGCGTTCCCATTTTCGCGGCGCTTCCGCGGCCGGTGTCTCCCCGGCGTAAATCTGGATTACGAACCAGGGAGAATATTAAAACTAAATGCAACCATAAAATCATCGGACATTGTGCAGTTGCAGTGGAAGCGTCTAATGTGGAACTATCTAATGTCAGATATCAATCAATCAATCAATCAAAGATACTTTATTAATCCCAGAGGGAAATTAGAGTTTCAGTACACACAATTCAGAGATCAGACATACATGGGCAAGACACATGACTGACTGTGGTCATTCGCAACCCTGAGTCGCGCTACCTTAATAGAGATAAGAGGGGTTTACATGAGGATTGGTTCAGGTGGAGGGGAAAAAAGGCACTTCAGAGTTACCCTCCATAGGGAGGACAGCTTTGCTCTGATAAAAAAAAAAAAAAGATATCCAATCCTATCCACGTTTATTTAAAAAGTACCTTAAAACAACACCGTTGATCAAAATGTTGTTCACCATAAGACAACAAGCAACAAACAAAACCATTTAAAGTAGGAAAACAAAACATCACGCTGAGTTAAAAGCCAGTGAGAAAAAAGCGAGCTTCAAGAGAAGTCCTAAAAACACGGATTGTCGGATATGTAGTGGTAGACCATTCCACAGTTTGGGGGCAGCAACTAAGAGTGAGCAATCACATCTCAACTTCCTCTTTGATTTTAAGATGACTAAAAGCAACAGATGTGCTAAACTAAGTGAGCGTGAGCAAATGTATGGCCGCAGCAGATCGGACAGATACTGAGGTGCAAGGTCGTAAAGACATTTAAAAGCTAACAGGAGATTTTTTAAATCTTTTTAAATGAACTGTGAGCCAGTGGAAGGAAACTAAGTGGGTGTGATGTGGTCAAGCCTTCTGGTACCAGTTAAAATCTCAGCAGCAGTCATTTAAAACCAACTGAAGTCTCAAAAGTGATTTCTGGTTGAGGCAGAATCAAAGTGTGTTGCAATAATCCAGTCGAGTGGTGATAAAAGCATGAATCAGCATTTTAAAGAGATGCAATCATGGCAAAGGCCTTACCTGAGCTGTCTTAAATGAAACAAGTTTGATCAGAAGTTTTTCTGTGCATCAAGTACAAAACTGCAGTTCAGCCGTTCTCCTCTTGGTTGCCACATCGTTTGACTTAGTGAGCCCAGATAAACATGAGGTTTTAGGCTATCACTAGGGCCGAACAGCAACAACTCAGTGTTATCATCAACACTTTTCTAGACTGAGACGGCTGTTTTTCCTGGAATCTGCTTGTCTTGTCACCAAAATGCAAAAAATTAACACAAACATCTGATATCCACGAGCATCTCAACAGAATATCTGCAGAGCAATAGTTTTGCTGATTCAGCAGAACATAGATCTGCACGTCATCTGCATAAAAACATTGCTTTGGCTACTGCCTGTCTAGATTTCTAAGCTAGTGTTTGGACACACTCTTCTCATAATTCAGCATTAAAACTAAACTTGTCTTCACACGCACATATGCAGAAAAACATTTGGCTTTTTTTTTTTTTTTTTTTTTTTTTACGTGCAAAGACTTTCATGAGGCACAGAATTTCACCAAACAGCACACAGAAGCATCTCAAGGACAACTAATTGTGACACGATGTACACAAATCTCACTTTCAGAGTAACAGAAATACTCTGAATTGTTAAATGAATGACATGCTTTGGTCTTTTATTTCTATTAAATCAACTGTGTAATCCACAGCCTTGCTTTTGCTTTGACTTTTTGGAGCGCCTTGTTAATGGCGATGAGAAATGAATGAATGTAATCTAACTTGATATGTTTGAAGCCAAACGCAGCAGAAATGAAGTGATTTAAAATATTTCTTCTCTGTGTTGCTTTGCAAGATGAATCAGTGAGTAAATGATGTGTCAGGTGAGAGAAGCAGTAAAGTGAAAATTGATGCATTCATTAATTGGCTACAAAAAAAAAGAGCTGCGCTCTGAGCTGTACTCCAATAAGAAAGAGTAAGTGAGTGGCACCAATAAGTATTTACATTTTGTTAGACCGCATGGTTCCCGCAGAGTAAACTAGCCAGCAGGAAAAATATCCAGAAAAAAAAATCCATGCTGACAGCCTAGCCTGGGGCTGTTTGTATGTTTGGCTGTGTGGGAGCGTTGGTCTGCAGGTGTGTGAGCAAGTCAATAAGTATTAATGCATGTGTGACTGCATATTCGGGTTTACACCCCTGCTGTTGTGTAAATGTGTGTCTATAAAAGAGTTTGCCCCAGGACTAGTGTCTCTTTTTCTCTCTTTTATTCTCCTCTGTTTTCACCAGGCTGTTTGCGTGACGTGAGGCTCAACGAACGCCCCATCTCTCTGGATCAGGAACAGCGTTCGGAGGGGATTCAGGTGGTCACGTCACAGGGCGTCTCTGTCGGCTGCTCCTCAGATGCTTGCAGAAAACATCACTGCTCCCCTCCCCTGGTCTGCGTGGACCTCTGGAGACAACATGAATGCAGGTGTTGTAAATATTCAGGACAAACAACTCAATGTTTTAAAGCGGCCTTAAAGTGTGCAGGCACGTTTCGTACATATTTACATGCTCATCCCTGGTGAAAGAGGGAACAAGGGATGCATAGAATGTTCTTACTTACTAAAAAATTAGTATTGCCAGCACTCTTCCCAAACTTGTACTAAGAGTGTGAGATCGGCTTTTTTTTTGCGATGGGAAAAATGTGATGCTTTTCTTTTGAGTTAAAGAACAAAATATTAGCAATATATCACTATATTGATTGATTGCAATTTGTCTGATATTTTCACAAAATATTAGACTAAAAATATACTAATCAGCCACAGGGTGGCACTGTTACTAAAAGTCAAGTAAGTGTAAATATCAGAGGGCATTCCATCTATTTTAGATTTTGACCCTTAAAATAAATTTGCAGAGATTTGAGACTCCATCATTTAACAAAGACCTTCTTCAGCTACATTATATATATATATATATATATATATATATATATATATATATATATATATATATATATAAACTAAAATACAGAAGCACTTTATTTGATTCTCACACTGTCATACAAGTACCACTGGTGGTACTCTCATCAAGTGTTAGAAGAAATTCGGACATATATTTAAGCGATAAGTAATGAGCTAATTGTACCTGATACATCGAGGAACCCAAAAGAGCTTTCAGGAAAAGTTCTCTTCAAACATTAAAGTGCAATAGAGAACATTTTGAGAAGACCTGTAGGAACTAAAGTGGGTGATAGCTACTTCAGTGTATTTAAGCATTGGGCCCTCTTTAGCAGTTGCTTGCAAGAGGCATAAAAAAGTCAAGTAATTTGATTCAGATTAACTCAAATTTGTTTTATTTATTGTGATGCAAAGGATACGTTGAACCGTTTTGGTTGGTTAGGGTAGCCAGGGGATTTCCCCAGAATCAGTTCAGTGATCGCCAATATTTAGAGTAGATATAGTTGCAATGGTAGGACTCAAACTTGTCTCAACTTAACTCAGGATGGTTAAAAGGTTTGTAGTTTTGTAGTTAATCAAAGCATTTTTATTTGTTGTTGTTAGAATTAAGGAACACCTCACCAGTGGACCTTGGGTTTAGTGTGATTTTTCAGCCTTTTGCAGCATCCACTGGTCAATTGGGTTGTTTCAGAGACCCAAATGTATAGAATAATGTTTTAAGGTAATGGTTAGAAACTCAAGGAAACTGAATCAGATGTTTAATTTGTTTAAAGATTTTTGGTACAAACGTGTGCAGTAGCTCAGGAGGTAGAGCAGGTTGTCCAGTAATCGGAAGGTTGCAGGTTCGATCCCGGCTCCAACCAGAGAATTCTGCTGTTGTGTCCTTGGGCAAGACACTTAACCCCCCATGCCTGCTGGTGGTGGTCGGAGGGACCTGTGGCGCCTGTGCTCGCCTCGGTCAGTGTGCCCCAGGGCAGCTGTGGCTACAGTGTAGCTCATCCCCACCAGCGTGTGAATGAGTGAACGACTGATTGTGTTGTAAAGCGCCTTGGGGTTTGTTTGTAGAACCTTAAAAAAGAACTATACAAATACAGACCATTTATTTACCATTTTTGTGTTGGTCCTCGGGTAGTTTACGTTTTGTTTTCTGAAGTGTATCAGTGATCATACCCTTGAATTTTTTTATTCATGTATGAATTCAGATTCTGTTAGAGTCCCAGGAATCCATGAAGCAGCTAACTTCTATCTTCGTCAATATGCTTTTTGTTCTCCTCCAGCAACTAAGTGTGCTAACAGATCATATCTATACATTTTTACAGTTTCAAGTTTTTTTATCATCACATTTTTCTATGAATAACAAAGCAACAACAGAAATAGCTGCAATGGCAATAATAAATCAACCACATAGGAATGAAAACACAAAGAAAAAGACGTTTTTGCATCATAAAATGTGATTATTTTATGTGAGTTTTCCTCATTGAACTTGATGTAGAAAAAACCAACAGATGGCAGTGATGCTGTGTGCGTTTCTGGCGTTGTCAACCTGAGAACGGCGCACACCAACAAAGTCTGTCCCAACGAAGTGACCCTTTAAGCTCTGTGGAACCGCTACCTCTCTTTGCTGTGATGTCAGCTCTCCAAAACCAGTGGGGACTTTTGACATCTGTATTCTGTGATTGCAGCATAGCCTCAGGATACAAAGCTCTACAAGGAGCAGGGGGCAGGGATGAGCGATATTCAGAGGATGTTTGGTGCAAATATAAGGAGGGACTAAAACTGCAAAGCCAATTTTAACTTCTTGTTCTGTTTTCTTTCATTCACAACATTCTGTAACCTTCAAAGAACACATTTTTTAATCCGATATACGAAGTGTAACTCCTGAGGGATTCATTTTTACTCTATAGTTCTCACAAATCTTGTAGAATTCGTGAATTTTGTTATTTTCTTTGATTTGATCGATTCCGAGTTTTGCCTGTCTCTGCTTTACGTTGGATCATCTCCTCTGCACAGGTGCCCTCCAGGTCACATGACCAAAGAGAGCTCCTCAGGCCGAGTGTGCATCTACACGCTCTGCGCCAGTCGGCCGTGCCACCACGGCACGTGCGTGGCTCACTCGCCGTCTCGCTACTCGTGCCACTGCAGCGAGGGCTTCCGGGGACGGCACTGCGAGGTGGCGCTGGTCGCGTTCCACGGCGAGGACAGCAACAGCCTCAGCCTCAGCTCCATGTTTGCCATCAGCATCTGTGTCATGGCCTTTCTAGGTAGCTATGTCGACTACGTCCTCTTCCGCCTGTGGTAACCCAACATTGTCACCTCCGTTTGTGTTTGCCACCCTTTTTCTTTTTATTTTGTTGTTTATTTTTCAGTTTTTGTCATGCTTTTATCACTGCATTATATTAGAGTTTGTTTTATCTGTAAATCCACTGTTTTATTTGTTCTCCACCCTCCTTTTTCCCTGTGAAAACTGTACACCAGCTCATATCTTGTTGCTGTATTGATCTCCCGAGTTGTTCCACGATGTGATTTGTCTATGGGCGTTTGTTGAGAACATGAAACAAATATTTGCAGAAGGGAGGGAAGCAGCCAGCGAGGAGACAAATAGCATGTCCTAATTTGTGATTCATAGGAAAGCTGCGGAAGTCTCTGGAGAACGAAGGGATAATCTTTATGCTTTTCCATATTTCTCATCACTTTTGTGTGTCTTTTCTCTTTCAGTGTTTCAAAAGTCAATTTCAGTCTCAGCCTTAGCTTTCTTTTATTGTCCGACATATTTTGTGTCCAACCATCCACTGGTTTTACCCCCTTGATGCTGGTCTTTTGTACTTTTCTGGACACATTTCTATTTTGCCTTGTCAAGCTAATGTTTCCCCGTTGAGCACGTTTAGTCCTGTGCAGCGTATGGAGCATATGGAGCGGTCCTTAAAAATGAGGACAGTGTTTATTATCCCCTTCATCATTTAAGGTTACAGGCTAAGAGTTGTCATAAAGTTTATTAATCTGAATCATTCTTAAACTTTAAAATTAGCTTAGAACAAGAGAACTCTCTGACACCATTTTATACTCCGTAATTTAAGTTTTGCAGGACAAACCAACAGTTTTTTGCAGCAGCACAGCTTTCCGTCGCCACCAAAGGTGATGAGGTGGGAATGTTTCTGTCCTATTTTTGGGTACAGCGATGAATGATACAAAATCACAGCCTCGGCTTAAGCCATCGGAGAGAGTATGACGTTTATCTGATATACGCATGATTTTTGGGAGAAAAGGATCAACTTAGAAATAAAACAAAGTAGTTATGCAGTGTTTTAAAGGGTTGGGTGTGGGTGTTGGAGGGCTCTTACTGACAAAAGTCTCCTTTTGAAAACTCTTCGGTCGACTAAAGCTGCTCTCTGACATTTGAGGGGTCACGAGTTCAGACACGTAAACTGGAAAGAAACTTCTGACAGCTTTTGTAGTTCAAGAGCAGAATTGTCAAATCAATGATTAGAAGATGAGGGTTATGTGGTCTCTGCTGTGTGCCTGTTCATGACTGAGCTGCTGAATTATAAAGCTTTAACGCTGATGCCTTAATGCACAGCCTTGTAGAAGACAGTATCGATGCGGATATAGGCAACCTTTGATGTCCTAGTTAGAAAAATGCATCATTTTTGATCGCTTATGGGGTGAACTGAAGGTCTAAGGAGCTAAATATCTGTTTTGGCTTTTTAAAAATGTTTCTGTCAGGAATCGTTCAAAGTTCAAACAAAGTTTGATGGTTCTTTTGTGGAGAAAATTTAAAAATATGTAGGAACTTGCCTTTTCAATAATAATAATAATAATTATTATTATTATTATTATTATTATTTATTAAGTGTTTTGTCGCTGGTCTGAGGTCACGATGATAATTAGTTAAACGGATTTATACCTTTTGACCATCCACTTGGTGGAACACATCTTTGTTGACATTTTATTGAAACTTGTATTTAACTTAATTGGAGAAAAAAAGACATAAATCAGCCAAAAATTCTAACTGAAAAAAATCTAAAGTAGGGGATATCTGAATAAGGAGTTACAAACTATTATTTGTATTACCCTTCTCAGTGACCTACTGGTAGAGTGTCCGCTCTGGGAGTGGTGGTGGTGGTGGGGGGGCATCATTTGATGTGTTCAAATCCCCGTCGGGCCATACAAAAGACTTAAAACAAAAAAGGTACCCGATGCCTTCCTGCTTGACACAGCTTTAAGGGGTTGGATTTGGGGGGGGGGGGGGGGGGGGGGGGGGTTCAACCACCAAATACTTCTTTAGCAAGGCCTTGGGGATGGGTCCAATGCAGAGAAGAATTTCACCAGTGTGTGTTGCTGACTTTGGGACTTTAATAGTGATAAAATAAAAACACTCAATATAATAAAGGTGTGACACACTGAAAAACCATTTTAATTATTATTTCTGATTATAATGGGTCACTCTGAGTGTTTTATGCAGACTGAACATGAAAATAGTCTCCTACACTTACCTCCTGCATTAGATTCTGATGGAAAATAGATGATGAAACTCTTGGATTTTTAAAGCCTGACAGATCTGATTTACACACTGTCACTTAATATTCATGAACTCGTCCCTCTTGACTCACAACGGGGAGTCTACTAGAGACTTCAACTCTCTGTTCACGTGTCTGAGCAGAACCTCCCTGAACCGTCTACAGGTGGTTCAGAATGCCTGTGCTCGGCTTCTGACCAAGTCCTCCAAACACACCCACATCACCCCGCTTCTCCTCCAGCTTCACTGGCTGCCAGTCAACTTCAGGATTCATTTCAAGATCCTGGTTCTGGTCTATAGGGCCTTACATGGAAGAGCACCATCTTACATTGGTGATCTTCTCAGTCCCTACACCTCCAGCAGGTCCCTGAGGTCCAGTGATCAAAGCCTACTGGTTGTGCAGCACCAGGCTAAAGACCAAAGGTGACAGATCATTTGCTGCTGTGGTCCCCAGACTCTGGAACTCTCTCCCCCTGAGCCTGAGATCAGTGGACTCAGTGGTCTCCTTTAAAAAGCAGCTGAAGACTCACTTGTTCAAGCTGACTTTTGTATGACCTTCATCCTCCCTACCTATTCCACCTTCCTCAGGATCCACTGATTTCCCTCTTTCCTAGTCACTCTCTCTTTTTCTTTACACTTTTTAATCACAAGTGTCTATTTTTTCTGATTTTAAATATATTTTTAATCATTTTCTAAATTCTTTTTATATTTTACATTTTTGTTTTTGTGAAGCGCCTCGTGATTTTTATCTTGAGAGGCGCTATAGAAAAGATCTTTTATTCTTCTTCTGCTATTGTATTGATTAAATGATTGTTGCACACCTTTAAAGGGAAAAAAATCTTTTTAAAAACAAATATCATCCAGTCTTGTTAAGGTAACTGAACACAACATGATAGCATTTGATGAGGTCAAAACTCTAATTGAAGAAGGGGCAATGAAGACATTGTTGAAGCTATTTAGTTTATTATAGGCTTAAGTTATAGCCTAGTTTATTTTCTTTATTTTATGCTAAAGGTAATTTGTTTGTTTTGCATAATGCTTTTTATTTATTATTTTGGCTAATTAGTTTATTGTTTATAGGTCAGGTGTGGGTGATTATTGATATAAATAGGTCAAGGTGGGTGGAGCAGCCAGGGCTGTGAGGGAACATGTTTTTTTTTTTTTTTTTTACCACACAGAGACAGAAAGGACGCAAAAATCTGTGCTCTTGTTGCTTGAGTGAATAAACCACCACCAAATGCAATTTTGGCATGGACAATGCTTTATTTGAAATCTTTTTTACCTGTGCGTAAAGCCTAACCCTTGACGTAGCCCAGTGGCCGTTAGAAAGTATTTGATTATTTTTTGTTTAAGTTTTATGGACAAATAGCCACTACAGACATTTTTAAATAGATTTTTAATTCCAATTTCCTATTGGTGGAAAATAGTTTTAACGTGCACTCGCCGGCTTAAATTGTCTTAAACTTTTCTCATAATCAAAAATACAAGATTATTATGTAACATCAATTAAACTAAAAATCCCATTCCTGATATGTAGCTAAAGGAGAAGTACAACTTACTTTTTGTGGGGAAAAATGTGCAAATCCAGCCGAAAATCCAAGAGTTACTAAAATATTTCATTAGGTTTTATTTTTTCTTTGTATTTATTTTTCTCTGTGGCTCAAAAAAATTTTTTTGCTTTAAATTTTAGAACATGCCTTCTGTGTTTCTTAAGTGCTACTTTCAAAATTGTTAAAGTGAAAAAAACAAATAAAGAAACCGGAAGAATCTAAAATAAACCAGGAAAAATGGTTCCAGAGTTGACTTGGTAATAAAAAAAAAAAGTGATCACCTAGCTGATTATTCAAATGACCTCTAGACGTGAACTAATGACACCAGCACGCTCGGATACACAGTCAAATAAACCTGCATGGTTGATGGTTTCATAAAGGGTGTTATGATCTAATAGGATCAGGATTCAATATCGGCCCACACCTTCTGCCTGCAGGATGTTTGTCTTTCCTCTTTTACAGCCACATATGTTTAAAAGAAAAAAAAACATGTGAGATCTGTTATCAGCAGTTCAACTTGAGGAAAAGGATGAACTAATTGTGTTTAATTGTACTAAAATAATTGCTTTATTTTTCTTGTTTGTGAAAAGACAGAAAGACAAATGGCTCGCATGTTGTTTCACTCACCTTCCTGCAAATGTCTGATTTGGTGTTTATGAGTCCTCGTGTCACATATAAAACACTTGGGAAATTCAATATACTGTCCCTGCCTATAACTGACTGAATGTTCCCCCCTGGGGTTGTGTGGCTAGTATTAGAACATCAGTTATTCTGACACTTGAGAGTAAAACATATAAAGTTGTCTGCAGCATTTGATAATTAATTCAAGGCTGATGAAGTGTGGCCTTGGTCTCTTTCATGGAAATTCATGAGTTCCTTGCAATGCTAAAAATATAAAATAAATATGCAGTCCATTTGGAGCGGCTTGTCCACTGTTGCAGATGGCATATTTAAATTCAGAGCACAGAGTTTTCACCTCACCAAGAATCGCTGCTTAATAATGTAATTCAGATCAGAACCAGCCCTTGTCGGTGAGTATAATTACATTTTTACACCTTGGAAAAATAATGAAACAACCACAGTTATTCACTTTGGACAAAAGAGGAGTCGGCTGAGCGTGGAGGGGAAGTTAGCTGGGTTTTTATTTTAAAGAACAGCTGGTTTAACAGGCTGAACAATAGTTGTTTAATGATGATCC